TATATACCCAGTAATGGGATTGCTAGGACAAATGGTGTTTCTGGTTCTAGATCTTTGAGGGATTGCTGCACCATCTTCCACAGTGGTTGAACTAATTCACATTCCCACCAACAGTGTAAAAGTGTTCCTATTTCTCCTCAGCCTCACCAGCATCTGTTGTTTCCTGGCTTTTTAATAATTGTCGTTCTGACTGACATGAGATGGTATCTCAATGTGGTTTTGATTTGCATTTCTCTAATGATCAGTGATGTTGAGCTTTTTTTCATATGTTTGTTGGCTGCGTAAATGTCATCTTTTGAGAAGTGTCTGCTCATGTCCGTTGCCCACTTTTTAATTCGGTGGTTTTTTTCTTGTAAATTTGTTTAAGCTCCTTGTTGATTCTGGATATTAGACCTCTGTCAGATGGGTAGATTGCAAAGCAAAACATTTTTCCCACTCTTTAGGTTGCCTCTTCACCCTCATGAGAGTTTCTTTTATTGCACAGAAGCTCTTTAGTTTAATTAGATCCCATTTGTCAGTTTTCACTTTTGTTGCTAATAGTAGTGATTTCATCATGAAATCTTTGCCCATGCCTATGTCCTGAATGGTATTGCCTAGAATTTCTTCTAGGGCTTTTATAATTTTGGGTGTTAAGTGTTTAATCCATCTTGAGTTAATTTTTGTATAACATGTAAGGAACATGTAAGCCTTTGTATAAGGCTAGCCATTATCTTCTTATCCTAGCTTAAGGGGTCCAGTTTCAGTTTTCTGCATATGGCTAGCCAGTTTTCCCACCACCATTTATTGAATAGGAGATCCTTTCCCCATCGCTTCTTTTTGTCAGGTTTGTTGAAGATCAGGTGGTTGTAGATGTGTGGTCTTATTTCTGAGTTCTCTATTCTGTTCCGTTGGTCTATGTATCTGTTTTGTACCAGAGCCATGCTGTTTTGGTTACAGTAGCCTTGTAGTATAGTTTGAGGTCCCGTAGCGTGATCCCTCTAGCCTTGTTCTTTTAGTTTAGGCTATACGGGCTCTTTTTTTGGTTCTATATGAATTCTTCAGTAATTTTTTTTTCCAATTCTTTGAAGAATGTCAGTGGTAGTTTAATGGGAATAGTACTGAATCTATAAATTACTTTGGGCAGCATGGCCATTTTCACAATATTGATTCTTCCTATCCAGGAGCATGGAATATTTTTATTTTTTTGTGTCCTCTTTTATTTCCTTGAGCAGTGATTTGTAGTTCTCCTTAAAAAGATCCTTCAGTTCCCTTATTAGCTGTATCCTAGGTATTTTATTCTCTTTGTAGCAATTGTGAATAGGAATTCATTCATGATTGGCTTTCTCCTTGCCTGTTGTTGGTGTATAGGAATGGTTGTGACTTTTACACATTGATTTTGTATCCTGAGATTTTGCTGAAGTTGCTTATCAGCTTAAGAAGCTTTTGGTCTGAGACAATGGAGTTTTCTAGATATACGATCATGTCATCTGCGAACAAAGACAATCTGAATTCCTCTCTGCTTATTCGAATATGCTTTATTTCTTTATCTTGCCTGATGGTCCTGGCCAGAGCTTCAATACTGTGTTGAATAGGAGTGGTGAGGAGAGGACATCTTTGTCTTGTGTCAGTTTTCAAGGGGAATGTTTCCAGCTTTTGCACGTTCACTATGATATTGGCTGTGGGTTTGTCATAAACAGCTTATTATTTTGAGGTATGTTCCTTCAATACCTTGTTCACTGAGAATTTTTAACATGAAGGGATGCTGAATTTTACCAAAGGCCTTTTCTGCATCTATTGAGATGATCATAGGTCTTTGTCTTTAGATCTATTTATTTAGATCTAAATAAATAGTAAACGTGATGAATTAACATTTACTAATTTGCATTTGTTGATCCAGCCTTGCATCTCTGGGATGAAGTCCACTTGATCATGGTGGATAATCTTTTTGATGTGCTGCCGGATCCAGTTTGCCAATATTTTATTGAGGATTTTTGTATTGCTATTTATCAGGGATACTGGTCTGAAATTTTTTGTTGCCTCTCTGCCAGGTTTTGGTATCAAGATGATGTTGGCCTCATAAAATGAGTTAGGGAGGAGTCCCTTCTTTTCAATTGTTAGAATACTTTCAGAAGAAAGTGTATCTGCTCCCCTTTGTATTTCTAGTAGAATTCAGCTGTAAATTCATCTGGTCCTGAGCTTTCTTTTGTTGGTAGGCTATTGATTACTGTCTCAATTTTATAACTTGTTATTGGTCTATTGAGGGATTCAACTTCTTCTGGTTCAGTCTTTGGAGGGTGTATGTGTCCAGGAATTTACCCATTTCTTTTAGATTTTCTATTTTATATGCATAGAGGGCCTAATGAAAGGTGCCATTGTCCATATTCCTGGGCAAGCCAAAAACCTAGGCATTATCCTCGATACCTCTTTCTCCTGAACCAACTGTCTGTAATCCATCACCACCACCTCCTGCTGATTTTGCTTTCCTAATGAATTTTCTAGGAAGATGTTAATTGAGGTTTGTGAATAAGATTAGAATTATATTTTTAACCTGTAGTATGTATTACATCCTGTCATAGTATGGAATATAATACTACATTGTATTTTAAAGAAGCTCACTTTTTTCTGAAGTCTGAGAAACCATCATCTGCAGTAACCTTGTAATTGGTCTTGATCCTATTACTATGCTCCTTTAATTTGTTATTTACCTTGGAACCAAATTAGTGGTGTGACTGGTAAGTCTTATCCAAGCTTAACCTCACCAATTAAGGCTGAAAATCTTAACAAGACATGTGAGGCACCCCATTCATGATTTTCCCCCAACGTCTCTCAACATACTGAGTTCATACCCAAAGCCCCCTTGCTTATGTTCATTTAACTACAGTGTACACAAGCTGAACTTGAATACTTTCTCTTGCCTTCAACTTTTTCACATACTGTTCTCTCTGCTGTAATATGGGTCCTTTACCTCTACTTCCTGTCTTCTGCTGATCTAAATCTCATTCATTCCTCAGAATAAAATGTAGACATCATAGCTATCTACTCCACTTCCTTTGATAGGTCTCTCCAGAATCCCTCAGCTAGAAATTATTCTTCTATTGTATGCTATGATCAGCTCTATACCTTTGTGATATGTTATGAACGGTTCATGTATGAGGATTTCCAGGCTTTTGCCTCGCTCTGCTTCTTAAAAAAAACCATAGTGATCATATATTAGTCTCCTAGAAGACTTAATTCAGAATGTTTTAAATAAATTAACAAATTTTCATCTAATAGTAGTCATCTTTCCTTAAATTTGTCAGAGAAACTCTTCATGTGAGAGAGTAGTTATATAATTCATTATATAGACGTAGCAATATTATTCATATTATAAAAACAGTCAACTAGAATCTCTGTTCTCTCTCTCTCTCTCTCTCTCTCTCTCTCTCTGTGTGTGTGTGTGTGTGTGTGTGTGTGTGTGTGTGTGTATGGGCAGGGGGCATGTTAACAGAAAATGCTCCCAATTAATAAGAGAAGAATGGCTTATGTCCATGTTATCTTGGACATAAGCCATTCTTCTCTTATTAATTGGGAGGAATTAAGTCTCTAGAAAAAAAATGCTGTAAAAAATACTAGAATACTTCAGAATAATTTTCCAGAAGTATTTTAATAAAGGTCATGAAGAAGATTATAAAATTTTAAATAAAGGAGGCATAAAAAGTAAAAGCTGCCAAATAGTGCCTTAGACTTTTCTTAAAAATCTTGTTCCATCTAGGGAAGACGGATGGATGGATGAATGGATATGGAGCAAAGGGCAATAAAGTATGTGGATTTAACGTTAACGTGAAGGAGTCACTGGGAAATGCAGAGGCAGAGGCAAAAGTGATGTTGACTAGGGAAACTTAAAAGTACAGAAGCTTCAAATAATACAATCATTGATTTATCTTAGGGCTCCTTTTTCTATTTTTATTTCTAACACTACATTGGTTAGGGTAATCACTAAGTACTGTAACAGGCCCACAGCTGTATGGTAACTCAAATACAACTGAAGATTAATTCTCTCACATGTAACAGAAGTCAATGAAGGCAAAATTTATGTGAAGAAAAGTCTCTGACACTGACTAGAAATAAGAATTTTAACTTCTTCCTACTTTTTCTCCTTCCCTTTGCTTCTCTTATTCCCGCCCACAAATTTCACAACTTCTGAAACTCAGCAGTGTTTTACTATGTATTTATCCATTTTTTGGCTGTTACTAATATCTGTATTTTTTTTTGGATACTCAATAAGAAGTCATCGTTGAAAAAAAGTTCCATTTCACTGGTCAATATGGTCCCTAAGGGAGGAATGTGTGTTCTATTTTAAAAGGTCAAAAAAATTAGCCAGGCATGGTGACACATACCTGTAATCCCAGCTACTCAGGGTGCTGAGGCATGAGGTTGAACCTGGGAGACTGAGATTGCACTGAGCCAAGATTGTGCCACTGCACTCCAGCCTGGGCAACACAGCAAGACTCTGCCTCAAGAAAAAAAAAAAAGTCAAAGAGGTTGAAATAAAAATGACTAGTGGTAGCTATATAAAGATATATATTTAAATGTATTACTGAAGTAGTATAGATAATTTCATTCTTTCTTATTTTCTGAATGTAATTTTGCACATCTAGCTCCTTACAAAAAAATTGTTTGAAAAATGTAGTGTTTAAATTAAACATTTTTCATACACTCCATAAAGAACTTCTTTTAGCATAAAAATCTGTTACTTTCTTTATTCTTTATTAATTCCAGAAATTTAGTATGGATCTCTAAAGTACTTAAAGTAATTTAGAAACTGAAATTCAGCATTTTCATGTACTTCTGGCATATATTGTTTCCATGTATTTCTGTTCAGCAACGTGTTGTTCCTGAGCTAATACTACTTGTGTTATTTAGGTTTATTTTATAGTTTATAAGCACTTGATACAGCTTCACAGTCATTTTAGACATGTTTGAAACTGAATTAATTCTGTTGTGACTTCTGTTCATATAGTCTCATTTTTTCTTTTTAACAGAGATATGACGGAAGTTGTACATATTAAAGATAGGAAGGAGGCAATTCATGAGTTAAAATATTCACCAGATGGAACTTACCTTGCTGTTGGATGCAATGACAGCTCAGTTGATATTTATGGAGTTGCTCAGCGTTATAAAAAAGTTGGCGAGTGTTTGGGATCCCTTAGTTTCATCACTCATCTGGACTGGTCCTCAGACAGTAGATATTTACAGACAAATGATGGAAATGGGAAAAGACTTTTTTATAGAATGCCAGGTAACAATTTCTAGCAAATTACAGATTTGTAGTGCCTATATAATACTTTAGACTTTTACTAGAAGCAGAGTGTAAGTTACGTTTGATCATAGGAAATCAAAGAAGATCTGAGCTAATATTTGAAGCATTGTAGACTTTTCTATAAGCCTGCTTTATTTTATTGAAATTCTTTTGTTTTTTCCCTTCAACTTTATTGAGGTATAATTGACATTAAAAATTGTATACACTGAAAATACACAATGTAATGTTTTGATATATACACTGTGAAATGATTTCCACAATCAAGCTAAATGATGTTTCTGTCACTTCACATAGTTACCATTTTGTGTGTGTGCGTGCTGAGAACATTTAAGTTCCACTCTCTTAGCAAATTTCAGGTGTATCATACAGTAACAGTACGATTAACCATAGTCAACATTGCTGTACATTCGATCTTCTGAATTTATTCATCCTATACAACTGAAGCTTATATCTCTTTATATCCACCCCGACCCAGCCCCCACAGTCCTCTGCCTCTCCCAGTCCCTGGCAACTACTACTATAAATCCTTTGGTTCTTAAAACTCTTTTGCCTGGAGGATCTAAAACAGTTTCACTTTTTATTGAATTCCATACCATGAGCATAGTGTATGGTAAAGTACTACTGTATCTTAGAGAGTCAAAATGCCACTTTTGTGGGTAGAACTAATTAAGTGACTACAATTACTGGAAATGTGAGACCAATAAATTATTTGTTTTTGGTGATTATCTCAAACTTTGCAGGCTGGGCATGGTGGCTCACGCCTGTAATCCCAACACTTTGGGAGGCCACAGTGGACTGACAGCTTGAGCCTAGGAGTTTGAGACTAGCCTGGGAAACATGAACAAAAACCATCTTTGCCAAAAAACACAAAAACTAGCTGGGTGTGATGGTACGCACCTGTAGTCTCAGTTATTCAAGATGTTGGGATAGGAGGGTCACTTGAGCCTGGGAGGATGACGCTGCAGTGAGCCATTATGTTGCCACTTGCATTCCAGGCTATGCGACAGAGCAAGAGCCTGTCTCAAAAAAAAAAAACTTTGCAAATATTAATAATATAACTAACAAACTAACTTTGAAAAACAGAGTTTCAAAGATTTTAAAAGAGGAATAGGCTGTGTTCAGTGGCTCATGCCTGTAAACCCAACATTTTGGGAGGTTAAAGTGGGAGGATCTTGTGAGCCCAGGAGTTTGAGAACAGCCAGGGCAACAGGTTGAGATCACATGTCTACCAAAAAGAAAAAAAAAAAGAGCAGGCTGTTATGTCCTGCACCTACAGTGGGAGGATCATTGGAACTCGGGAGTTCAAGGCTGCAGGGAGCCAAGATCATGCCAGTGTACTCCAGCCTCGGTGGAAAAGGAAGACACTGATTCTAACTAAACAAATAGGTAAATAAATTAGCAAGTGAGCATCAAAATACTACCTCTTAGTAATTTTATTTTTATTTTTATTTTTTGAGATGGAGTTTTGCTCTGTCACCCAGGCTGGAGTGTAGTGGCATGGCTAAGCTCATGCAGCCTCTGCCTCTAAGGTTCAAGTGATTCTCCTGCCTCAGCCTCCTGAGTGGCTGAGATTACAGGTGCCCAACACCATGCCCAGCTAATTTTTATATTTTTAGTAGAGACAACGCTTCACCATGTTGGCCAGTCTGGTCTCTAACTGCTGACCTTCAGTGATCTGCCTGTCTCAGCCTCCCAAAGTGCTGGGACTACGGTGTGAACCACTGTACCTGGCCGCCGCATAATACTTTATTTATTGTGGTGCTTAGTGAATTTATCACTATCTTCCAAGAACTTATTATATAAAATGGGCTGCACAATTCAATTAATGCATTTCCCCAAAAGTTTTTCATTAACAGTCTATATGTAATGAAGATTGACTGGGTCCTAAAGTCTTCTTACCTAACATAAATATATTGCCCCACACTCATCCTTTCTTCTTGGTGTTTTCCAGTTCTCTCGTTTTTCTCAACTATGTATCTTAGACTTCTTTTTTAATACCTAATTTGCCACTTTCTCGTGGCTTTTACCTTTTTTAAGTAACTTACCCTGTTATCACTAATCGGTATCATTTTAAAAATAGGATTCAGTTTTTTTCTCCATATAAGTGAACCTGCTAAGCTAATCATTCAAGGCAATGTGTGTGTCTGAATCAGTGTAATTTTAGTAGTAGCTTTTAAAAAAAATCCTTGCATTTAGTTTTCTTTTCTGTTAACCCAAATTTACCTACCTATATGTATTTTCCTCTAAGTGGGGTGGGAAATACTTTAAATTTTAGAATTTACTATGTTATCAGTACAGTTTAGGCTTGAGAAAATCAAATGAAATAACTTCTTAAATTAAGACTCTGATTTATTTTTAGGAGGAAAAGAGGTGACAAGTACAGAAGAAATAAAAGGTGTTCATTGGGCTTCATGGACATGTGTTTCAGGCCTTGAAGTAAATGGAATTTGGCCCAAGTATTCAGATATCAACGATATAAATTCAGTAGATGGAAATTATGTTGGCCAAGTTTTAGTTACAGCTGATGACTATGGAATTATAAAATTATTCCGATATCCATGTTTAAGAAAAGGTACTTTTTCTTTCAAAATATTATTAAGTGACCTTTCTCTCACAAAAGACTTTTATATTTTTGCAGAAAATTAGTCTCGAGATAAATGAAAGGATTTTGCATTTTTTAAATGTACACTGATTGATGAAGGGTTTTATTTTGCTAATTCAAAATTAATGTCATATGTTGCATTTATTTTGATCATGAAGTTTTATTAGAAAATTCTTTTTGAATTCGTATGTTGTTATGAATGCACTGTATCTCTTTTAAAAAAATTTTTTCATTTCCTGAATTCCTTCATATACTCAGACTATATACAATGATGGTTGTTTTTGTTTTGAGATAAAGTCTTGCTCTGTTGCCCAGGCTGGAGTACACTGCAGCCTCCGCCTTCTGAGTTCCAGCAATTCTCCTGCCTCAGCCTCCTGGGTAGCTGGGATCACAGACATATGCCACCACACCCAGCTAATTTTTGTATTTTCAGTAGAGACAGGGTTTCACCATGTTGGCCAGACTGTGTCTCAAACTCCTGACCTCAGGTGATATGCCTGCCTTGGCCTTCCAAAGTACTAGGATTATAGGTATGAGCTAGGGTCTGATATAGTTTAACTTTGTGTCCCCAGCCAAATCTCATTTTGATTTGTAATCCTCAGGTGTTAAGGGAGAAACCTGGTGGGAAGTGATTGGCTTATGGGCAGTTTCCCCTATGCTGCTGTTGTGATAGTGAATCAATTCTCACAAAATCCAATGGTTTTATAAATTGTAGTTTTTCCTGTGATCTCACATACTTCTCCTTCCTGCCACCCTGTGAAGAAGGTGCCTTGCTTTCCTTTCCCCTTATGACATGATTATAAGTTTCGTGAGGCCTCCCCAACCATGCTGAACTGTGAGTCAATTAAACCTCTTTCTTTATAAATTACTCAGTCTTGGGCAGTTCCTTAAAGCAGCATGAAAACGAACTAATACAGGGTCTTATCATTTTGTTATTTTCTACATGTTTTATATATCATCTCTTTCTCTTGGATCTCTTCTAAAATGATAGGAATCATTCTGTTCATAGACCTGGGATGATTAAATAAAATGCTCTATTAGGCATCATTTATTTATTCCATGCCTATTTCATAAAGTATTTGAGTCAGCTTATAACAAGTCCATATGTACTAAAGAAATTATACAAATAGACAATCAGTATCGGGGAAGTAGAAATAGAAGTACCATATTCAAACTAGATAAAATGACAGCAGTCAAACATCAAATTTGATTCTGAGCTTCGTGGAAGCCAAAAATAAAGCAGGGTATAAAATAGTTTCATTACATATTTTAAAAAAACAAAGGCATACTTACTTCTCCAGCAAATCAAAGTTTCTTTGAAAATTTTCAAAGAACTTTCCGGTGGTGTGGGACTTTATACTAGGTATGGTGAATGTGTATTTTTAGAGCATCAACACCTATAGCGGTTGCAGTAGTGATTTTTACCTGGCTTGTTGATACAAGCCATTGGGCAAACATTAAAAGTGCAGCTTAGTAAAGGTGATTTGGGGAATAGCTAAAGTAGTTTGATTCAAATATATAATCTACTGATATCAAACTTAAGGGCTCGATTTTTCCAGAAGCCCAGGCTGGTATTTCTGTTGTGCTCCTAAGGTACAGTGATGAATTTAAGGTCTTGCCAGCTTGCCGTGTTGTTGATTCCTGCCTTTGAGGAGATGTCAGCTTCCTAGGTACGTGTGAAAATATTTTACTAAGTATGTTAATAAAGGTGTGTTAGTCCGTTTTCACACTGCTACAGAGAACTTCCTGGACTGGATAATTTATTTTTTTTAAATGAGGTTTATTTAATTGACTTACAGTTCCTTATGGCTGGGGAGGCCCTCAGGAAATGTATAGTCATGGCAGAAGGGGAGGATGAAGCAAGGTACATCTTACATGGCAGCAGGAGAGACAGTGGGAGCAGTGGGGGAACTGCCAAACACTTTTATACCATCAGATCTCATGAGAACTCACTCATTATCACGAGAAAAACATGAGGGAAACTGCCCTTATGATTCAGTCACCTCCCTCCAAGTCCCTCCTTTAACATGTGGGGATTACAATTTGAGATGAGATTTGGGTGGGGACACAGAGCCAAACCATATCAAAAGGCTGGCTAAATTTCTAGCAATTAAAGTACTCTATTTTTGAGTCCCACCACATAGCCAGAACATGCAAGTCACCATGCACAACAAATTTTAAGATGATACTTGCCTGGTTATAGTGTGAGATTCAGTAAGAGTCATGATGATCTTACTTTAGACATTCCTCCTACTTATTGTTTCACATACTGACCTCTATGCAAAAAGAGAAATGCTTTAATCTTCTGAGTTTTCTTAGTCAAGTGAATAGTATTTATTATTGTTATAATTTGCAAGATATTTCATTTATAATATGTATAGTAGTTCTTTGAACTGCTTTGTGAATATTTTACCAAAGCCTAGTTAGTCTTATCTAAGAGATTATACACTCCTTCCAGGACAGAAGTATAAATTGTTTTTCTTTTTTTTTTCCCCTTTTGTTAGTAATGCATTTTCTAGTAAGGATGATTTTTATTTTTAGGCACTTGTGAGTCAACTTGAGATTGTGGCTAGATAAGTGGGAAAGACAGAATATGACTACTGTGTTTTTAATGGATTAATATAAGTATTTTAGATTTTATGTTTTGCTTGGGCCAAAAAAGATTATGTATTTATTGAATTCATGTAATTATATACTTTGAAGTTTGCAATATTACTAGAAAAATTCTCTTTTTAGATTAATTATTAAGTTGCATTGCTAGTCCAAGTTAAGGTTAGAAAAATGTAGCTGATGTATTAGTATGTTTTAGGTATCCACTCAGGTAATATTCATTAGGTGACTTCTTAGAAGTGTAGCATTTACAAAATGTGGATTTTAAATAATAGAAGTAGTTTACATTATAAAATCATTGTAATTGAAACAAAAAAATATGAAGTTAGCTCAAAGAGAGAATGATGATGAGCCATATGTACCCTACATTTACTGCACTTTAATTTCAGCCCAAAGCATTCCACCTTCTCTATATATTTTTCTTCATTATCATTCTCTTTTTTTCTAGTTTCACCTGCTCTTGACCATAATCTCTCTGAAAGAATCCAGTACTCTTCCCAGGCAGCAGCATAGGGGCTGTGGTAGAGGGTGAGTAGGTCAGGATTGGGGAGAATAGAGAGGGCAGGATTAGTTTAGTCTGTCCCCTTCATCAGTGTTAATAATGGCCAAGACCCTCTCTGTACTTCTTGTTGACAAATGAAAATTTATATTTGGAGAAAGTATTTAGATTGTAGGAAATTCATAGGGAAAACAATATCTAACAAAATATCTAATAAAAAATTATAACAGAGACTGATTTAGTGCTGTCTTCCGTTTTGTTGCATGTAGCTTTAATGCCTTTTTTCCACTGCTGCAAAATATTATATTGTAAATATATGCTGCAATTTATGCATTTATTCCCCTGTCATTGGACATTTGTGTCATTTATAATCTTTTGATATTAAATGCAAATTTCTCAAAGGAGTGAAATATTTAACAGTGAAATTTCTGGATCATGGAGAATGAACTTTATGAGAAAATTATTTTCCAAAATGGTAATACAATTTTACAAAGCCAGTTGATTCAGCACTTGATATTGCTATGCTGTCTAATTTTTGCAAATTCAGTTAGTGTAAATGATGTCACATTGAGGTCTTAATTTTCATTTTTCTGACTATGAATGAGGTTAACCATCTTTTAAAATATGTTTTGGTCTTCTGAGTTTTCTCCTTTGTCAAACATAGGTTCATATCTCCTATTTTTCTATTGGGTTATTTATTTTATTGATCTGTAAGAGTTACTTTATATACTCAAATGATACAAATGCTTTGTAATTTTTATAGTTTGCAGTTGTCTTTTCCCCGTTTGTGGGTTGCCTTTTTATTTTCTTAATGATGTGTTTTCTTGGCTAGTTCTTAATTTCAATGTAGTCCAGTCTGTTTCTTTTCCTATAGGTAGTGAAGTTTTATATATTAAGAAATTCTTACTTTTACTAGTGTCAGATATTTTCATATATTTATATATTCCCATGTCTATAAGATTAATATCATTAAAACGTGGTTAAATGGAAAAAATATTCTGTCATATTGCTACAATGTATTCAAAATATTTAGTTTATATCAGCTTTGTGTGAAAATACACATTAAACACATTAGAAAAGGAATGGAGCCATTGAAACACAAATACTTAAGTATATTTCTTTATCCTTACCAAGAATTTTCATCGTCTTTTAGGAAAGCTTCTGTGATCATTATAGCTTGCTTTGATAAATCTTTTCTCTGAGATATTCATCCTCGTTGATGACTGTTTAGGCCTTAACTATTCTTATTATTTAATCATTTTATCATAGTTTTCATAATTAACAGGTACCTTGTAAGCATATAATCCCATTTATATTTAAAAATGAGGAAATGGAGTCCAAAAGAGGTTTAGTGGAATGCTCAAACTTCTGGCTATTAAATGGTCAAACCAATGCTCAAGCCACTAGTCTCTTGATTTCAATTCTTATATTCTTTAAGCTACATCAAATTTTTGCCCTCTTCTGTGCATTATAGGGGTTGGAATCATGTTCATGGCCTTTTAGTTTCCTTCGCTACTCTTTCTTCCATTACAATTTAGCATTCCAACTCAAACATCCAGGCAGAGCAAAGGGAAATTTAATCTTTCCTTTTACTTTCTTTTTCCCTTTCTTCAAATATCTAATGAGTTTTTGCTATATACCAGGCACCAGGGATATATATTAAACAAAATATCACTGCTATCTTCAAGGAGCTTATAGTTTTATTGGAGTTAACACATAAATAGACTATTGCATTTCAGTGTTATATAAGTATAATCACAAGGGGTAATCAGAGAATTCTGGAAGCATGTAACTTGGTCTTGGTGAGTCAGGGTCCCTTCATGAAAGATGTGATATCTAAGTGTGCTTTTAAGATATACATTTATCAGAATAAGTTATTAAAAATTAAATTGGTTATTAAAAATTATTAATACAGTCCCATTGACTAAAAATAACTGGTTTCCCTTAGACTTATTTTACAACTTTCTTGTTTAGTTGCCTTGGTTTATCCAAGAGGGTCTTTGAAAAGTCTCAAAAGTTTGGAAGGGATTTACAGGATTATTTGTACCTCTCTCTCTGTCACTCAGCATAGGCAGAGTAGATGCTCAGATAATTCTTTTTAATTTGCCCTAACATGACAAATTAGCACATCTTAGAACTTGGAATTTTATTTGTTAGAATTTCTGGCTTTAACTTTTAAGACACTCTGGTGTCTAGGAGTGCTTAAGGGTTGCATCAAAGGAAGTAGTAGTCAAAGCTCCCTCAACAGGCAAGTAATGCATTCCTCTATAAGAGCCCTTACCTTATAGGGCTTTGCTGAGTTGAACTACAGAAAGTTAAATTAGTGACTTAGATTAAGCTACATTAAAAATTTATTCCTAAAATAACAGTATTACTATGAAGCAGCAGTAAATTGTAACTTTAGATGACCTTTGATTGTATTTTATGCTTTAATTATGATAGTTATCCCTAAATTCAGGACTAAGATGAAAGTTTTTCTCCAGAATTTCATTGATGGGGCCTTGGCATCCTGATATACAAGATATACAATTCTTCTATAACTTAATATAAAATGTTTAAAACAATGTCAAAATGAAGCTAAGCATTGTTGTGTCCTGTGTACTTTAACAAGAATATGTATATATTGCCACATACCAGGAGAAGGAGGAGATAGAAAATATATTTTTAAAATATTTTCTTGTCATGTGCAGTGGCTCATGCCTGTAATTTCCAACACTTTGGGAGTCTAAGGCAGGAGGATTTCTTGAGCCCAGGAGTTTGAGACCAGCCTGGGCAACATGGCAAGACCCTGTCTCTATCATAAAAAAATAAGTAAAATATATCCCTATTATCACACAGATTTTTAATAAAATTAACCACAAAGTTAAATGATTCCTTTATAGTTGGGGGGATTGGGTGTATACCACCTTAGCCAAATGATACAGCTTAACATCTCTAATGATAGAACTGATCATATCCCCTGAAATGACATATCCAAAAGGATACAACATTGCTCATGCCTAAAACATGCCACCTGAATCTAATCATGAGAAAGCATTAGACAAAACCCAAATTGAAAGATATTTTTAAAAGTATCTGGATTTTTAAAATGATTATAAAGGACATTTTTAGAACAATGGACATATTTGACTTTGATTAATATGATGTATTACATTGATTGACTTTTTATGTTGAACCAAACTTGTATTCCTGACATAAATCTCATTTGATTATGTTGTATAATCCTTTTTATATGTTGCTGAATTCAATTTGCTATTATTTTGTTGATGACTTAAATGTTCAAAGGATCCTCTGGCTGCTTGGGTTGAGAATAATGGGGGTAAGCTCGACTTGATTAGTCCTTTGAATTTCACTTACAACCAAAGGCCTCAGGCCAAAACATCCAAATGTCTTAATATAAAAACCCTTGATCCCCAGGTTTTTCTTTCTTTCCTTCTTTCTTTTTTTTTTTTTTTTTACACGGAGTTTCGCTCTTGTTACCCAGGCTGGAGTGCAATGGCGCGATCTCGGCTCACCGCAACCTCGCCTCCTGGGTTCAGGCAATTCTCCTGCCTCGGCCTCCTGAGTAGCTGGGATTACAGGCACGCGCCACAGTGCCCAGCTAATTTTTAGTATTTTTAGTAGAGACGGGGTTTCACCATGTTGACCAGGATGGTCTCGATCTGGTGATCCATCCGCCTCGGCCTCCCAAAGTGCTGGGATTACAGGCATGAGCCACCGCGCCCGGCCGGTTTTTCTAAAAGTAGTAAGGTAATACCTCACAGCCTTTGTGGTTCCTTGTGAATCAGCAGAGAGGAGGTATTTATATTCCTTGATATAGATTCATTCATTTGTTCATTCAACCAATTTTTGAGTCAGCATTTTTCCTATTTGTTCATAATTCATATAATAGGATGACACAGTGATTCATGTATAAAAATTGCTTGAAATGGTATTCTGTGTGATAGCATTTGTTTATCAATTTAAAGATATATTTTTATTATAGGGGCCAAGTTTAGAAAATATATTGGCCATTCAGCTCACGTAACTAATGTCAGATGGTCACATGATTATCAGTGGGTTATTTCTATTGGTGGAGCAGATCACTCTGTCTTTCAGTGGAAATTTATTCCTGAAAGAAAACTGAAAGATGCTCTTCACATAGCACCCCAAGGTGAGTATTATACATTACCTAAACAATTTTCCTGTCAAATAACTCTTCAGTAACCCCCAAATAACAATTTTCTATTGAAGTATAATTTAGCATCATAAGTTAGCAGTATAGTTTGTTATTAGTAGAAATTTCAAGTTAAAATGTTAGTTCTATGTGTTTAAAGTTAGATGTCACAGAGTATGGAATACAAAGTAATTTTGGCTGCATTTTAATCTATCAAATAATGAGTGAAGAAACAGTTATGAATAGCAAAACAAACATGTAATATATCCTCTGGGAGATGGGTATCTAGATTTTGTAAATGCTTTCATTGACAAAAATTATCTAATGTCAGTTCATCTGTTGCATATAGTGTTTTTAGCTATTTTTCATGTTAATTATAGGTTATATTCACTTATATTTGCACAGACATTTAAATTTGATGTAGCGGTCATTGGGGAGCCAGTGAAGGGATTTAAAGGAGCTATTGAGTTTGCAGTGAGTGGAGAGGAAGATAATCTGTAGTACAGTTTACTGACATCTGTGTCACTTGAATAGGTAATTTCATTTGATTGTTTTATGGCTTGTCTCCATGTCAACTGACATAGCTCTTAATCATTAATTTTACAGTGCTGTTTTGAAAATGAATCTACTTTAAACAAGTAACATTTTATTTTTAAAAAATTACAGAAAGTCTGGCTGACTCTAATAGTGATGAATCAGATTCAGATCTGTCTGATGTTCCAGAACTGGATTCTGAAATTGAACAAGAGACACAGCTCACCTACCGTCGACAGGTAATTTTCCATATCACAAGGTTTTTCTCTGCAAAGTCCAATTTCTTCTTTATCTTGCTCCTGGTTAGTCATCTGTTGTTCTTTTGTGGCTTTGATTTCCCAAGCAATGTATGACTATGTTAGTTTTCCCACTGTCAGTGTTGAAGTACGTTTGTGTAAAAAAATTTTTTATATTAAATGCTTGATATATTAAGTGTGCTTGTCTTCTATTTGACTATAGTCATTTGTTATAGTGTACTCACATTTATTCCCTTAAATGAACTATATTCTTTTTTTTTTTTTTGGAGTGGGATATTCCTGTTGCATATTATGCTTTTCTTTTTTTTTTTTTAATGAAGTATAAAAATTTCCTGGAACACTGTCTGTTTGTCAGTGTGATACATAGAAAATGTGAATTTGTTCTTTCCAAGGGAGTAAATTTCATGAATTACCTTCTCATTTAAGACAATTATTAAAGCGGATCATGTTTTCAGACAGTGTCTGAAAGTTATATTGGGAGTATATGAACACCTTTATTAATATATATTCTAAGAATATTCCTACTTATATACGTTTTTTAAAGGTTTACAAAGAAGATCTACCTCAGCTTAAAGAACAATGCAAAGAGAAACAAAAAAGTGCTACTTCTAAAAGAAGAGAGCGGGCTCCAGGAAATAGTATTCGATTACACTTTGTTCACGGGTATAAAACAACTGTCTTTCATTTATATGTTTGAATTTTGGTTCACACTTACTAGCTTAACATCTCTAATGATAGAACTGACTATCCTCTGAAATGACATATCCGAAAGGATACAACATTGCCCATGCCGAAAATATATCACTTGAATATAATCATGAGGAGACATTAGACAAAACCAAATTGAAAGATATTTTTTTAAATACCTGGATTTTTAAAAATGATTACAAAGGACATTGTTGGGACAACTGGGCATATTTGACTTAGATTAATATGATGTATTACATTGTGTGTAATACATCGTATTAATGATGTGTGTGCTCTGCGAATTGGAACAAATCAACCTCTCTGTGCCTCTGTTTTCTGTCTGTAAAATGGAGATAATAGTACTGTGTTAGTCCATTTCACATTGCTATAAAGGAATACCTGAAGTGGATAATTTATAAAGAAAAGAGGTTTATTTGGCTCAGTGTTCTGCAGGCTGCACAAGCATGGCACCAGCATCTGCTCAGCTTCTGGTGAAGTGTCAAGAAGCTTTAACTCATGGCAGAAGGCAAAGGCGGGGTAGGTGTGTTACATAGTGGGAGAGGAATCAAGAAAGAAGGGAAAGAATGGCACCAAGCCATTCATGAGGAATCCAACCCCATGACCCAAACACTTCCCACCAGGCCTAACATTTCACACTGGGGATAACATTTCAACATGAGATTTGGACAGGACAAATAACCAAATCATATCAAGTACCTGCCTTTTAAGGTTCTGATGGGGAGTAAATAAGACAGTGCTAGTGGTAACTTGTATTATGTGACACATAATAAGCACTATGTAAGTGTTTATTAAATAAAAAAAAATTTGTCTTATGGAAGTTTCATATTTATGGAAATGGACCTCTTTAAACAATTAAAATAAGTGTAAGAGATAATCATCTCCCCTTACCATGTCTAATTTGAAATGATATTGTGACTTCCTCTTGCATGAGCATTTTTGCCTAAATACTTTAATTTTACTAAAATATAGGTTCTGGATTCTCTTAGAACATCTGGCAGTATAGGTCTCACATTTCAGCTTGGCAGAAACAGATTTTCCAATCTGACTCTTTTCTACCTTTCACCCAGTATTAATTTTCTCACCTGACTGATAATACTTATCAAGAATTTGAAAAAGGATTTATTTAGTAAAAGTATTTTTTCTCCAGTGTTAAAATGGGCAGTAGTTTCTATGCAGTTGTATTTTATGAATTGGGTTTCTTTGAAGTGCAAAGCAAGTTTGCTATGAATAGACTTATACTTTTTCTTGGATGAGTATAATATTTTTAAATTGTTGTTTTTGCTGGTTGGTATAGTGGTGAAAAAAAAGAGAAACAATTGTTGTTTATTCTTTTTTGGAATATATGTTGTAGTCTTTGGTCCAACAATGTGTATAAAAGGTACAGTTAGAAAATCTTTCATCTCTGTCTTCCCAACCATCATTCCCCTCTCTGCAGATAGTCACTGTGACTTAGTTTCAGAAATATTTACACATATACAACAAATACAAATATATATTCTTTTCTATACCCTTTACTTATAAAAAGCAATTTTTTGTTTTATAGTATATATTATACTTATGTAAATATTATACTGTACATACTATCCTCTACCTTGTTTTTTTTCATTCAGTATTATAGCTTAGATTTAGCTATTTGTAGTCCAAGCAATTCATAAAAGTTTATTGGATCTGAGATGGTGGTATTTTTTTAACTGTTTAGGCTGGGTGTGTTGGCTTATACCTGTAATCTCAGCACTTTGGGAGGCCAAAGTAGGGGGGAACTCAGGAGTTTGAGACCAGTCTGGGCAACATGGCAAAACCCCATCTTTACAAAAAATACAAAAATTAGCCAGGCATGGTGACATACTGCTGTAGTCCAGCTACTTGAGGGGCTGAGGTGGGAGGATCATTTTAGCCTGGGAGGTAGAGGCTGCAGGGAACTGAAATCACACCACTGCACTTCAGCCTGAGTGACAGAGCAAAACCCCATATCTTAAAAAAAAAATTGTTTACTATTCTGTAAAACTGAAAATTGAATGACTCACCGAAAGGTACCTACTTCTCCCCTGTATATTCTGTATTGATCAGTTAAAAGGCCAAAATTAATTGTGTGTGATTTGTTTTCTATATTAGTTACAGAGGTTATGACTGTCGAAGTAATCTGTTTTATACTCAAATTGGTGAAATTGTGTACCATGTAGCAGCAGTGGGTGTCATTTATAATCGACAGCAAAACACACAGCGTTTTTATATGGGTCATGATGATGATATTCTCTGCTTAACTATTCATCCTTTGAAAGACTACGTGGCAACGGGCCAGGTAGGTTGCAAAGACTGACAGTAAGCCAGATAAACTGCACCGTTGTTTGAGTTTAAATAAATTAATCATATATCTCCTTTGTGTTCTAGGAAATGAGAGTAAAAAATTCTTTAGGATGGGTTTTATTTTCAGATTGTAAATAAAATTTACCCCAAACTTTTTTCCTACAGTTTTAAAGATTTTATTGTTTTAATTAATTTAACTTGGAACTCATAGCTCTGGCTTATTTTATTTCTGTCATGATATTAATTTTTTAAATTTGTGAGTAAAATTAGAGAAAACATAAGACTAGAAATCTGGTTTCTTTAGGTTGAGTTACCTAAAATAGTAAATTATTCAATAGATGTCCTGTGACAAACCAAAGGACTATGTCTTTTTACTTTACAACCATGATACTAATCTATTAGGTTTAACCAAGTAGAAAGCACAAATATTGAAATAGAAAACACTGAGAAAAGTGTTAACTGATACCTCTCTATATGAGTATTCTTAGAGAAGGAAGGGAAGAAATGATGTTTATAGATTCTAACTATGTGTAAGTACTTTACTAGTTTATGAATGTATATTCATTTTATTCTCACTTCAGCGTTGTGAGAGTAAAATTATTTCTGGCAGTCTACAAATAAGAAGGTTTAGGTTTGGAGAATTTGCTTGAGATCAATCAGCTAATAGGTAGTAAAGCCTAAAGCCTTCAGTCTATCTGGTTTTAAACAGTTTGTAAATATACTTTCTAGCTGAGATATATGGAAAAGGGGGCAACTTGCATCCTCCTATATAGCTTTCTTGAAAGGACAGAAAACTCCCTTTTTTCTTTCTCCCATTCTTCCTCCCGTTCTTTATGCCTCTCCTTACTTGCTCTTTCTCTCCTTTCTCTCTCCTCCTTTCTTTCATTCATTCAAAAATATTCATCAAGCACATTCTATGTACCAAGCACATTGTGCTAGGAACATAAAGATAAGTAAGACAACTTCTTGCCATGATGAAAACTCATATTCTGAGTTGTGATACAGTGTCATAAGTGTAGATCAGAGAAGCTTCTCTGATCAGTATTTATGACAATACCTTAGTGCTATTGATGTTTTGGGCCAGTTATTTTTTGTGGGAGGCTGACCTATGCATTGTAGGATATTTAGCAGCATCCCTGGTCTCTACCCACTAGATGCCAGTAACACCTACTTCCCTGAGTCATGGCAACCTCAAATGTCTCCAAACAGTGCCCAAATGTCCATTGGAAGGCAAAATCACCATTTTAAAATGTAAAGATATGTACAAAGTCCAGCAGCAATGTAATGAAGAACTAATGATTGATTGTGTCCAGGAGAATCAAGGAAACGCTCATACAGATGCTGACATTTGAGCTCAGTTGTTTACCTGGCAGTGGGGAGGTTTGGGGAAAGCATTATAAGTATATTATAGCGTGTGTAAAACTAAGGCAAAAAAAAAAAAAAAAAAAAATCCCAGGCCAGGCGTGGTGGCTCAAGCCTGTAATCCCAGCACTTTGGGAGGCCGAGGCGGGTTGATCACAAGGTCAAGAAATCGAGACCATCCTGGTCAACATGGTGAAACCCCGTCTCTACTAAAAATACTAAAAATTAGCTGGGCATGGTAGTGCGTGCCTGTAATCCCAGCTACTCAGGAGGCTGTGGCAGGAGAATTACCTGAACCCAGGAGGCGGAGGCTGCGGTGAGCCGAAATCACGCCATTGCACTCCAGCCTGGGTAACAAAAGCAAAACTCCGTCTCAGGAAAAAAAAAAAAAGCCCAGCTTATTTAAAGAACTATGAGTTCTCCCCACCTGGAGAAATGCCAAATGTGGGTGAAGGGGAGAAGAAAAGCAAAGCACACTGCCATGTGTGTACCTACGCAACTGTCTGGCATGCTCTGCTCATGTACCCCAAAACCTATAATCCAATAAAAAATTAAAAAAAAAAATATTTATAAGAAGCTTATTACCTGTTAAACATAAACATTTATGAAAAATAATTTTATTATTTAAATCCAAAAAAAAAAAAAAAAAAGAACTATGAGTTCTAAGTGCAGAAGTTGAAGATTAAAAAAAAAAAATAGAGAGAACTATGAGTAACCCACAGCATTCAAATCTTAGAATGCATTATGGACATTAATGGAGGAACTAATCAGGAAGGTAGGTAGGGGCCTCAGGGACACTATTGACCTTTAGTTTATGGGAGTAGTTCCTCTTGAAGCACAGTTATGTGCTCATATGCTATGGCAAGGAGTTGAACATTGTTCTGGTATTACTGGAATGAAGACTGTAAAAAGTGGCCATTTGCTACCATGATCCTGGGATATGAAGAAATTCAGGTCAAATTAAATAAAAAATTAGTATGCCACAGGTTTTCCCTGACTACCTATCAAGTCATAGCTCCTGTGCTTCTGGTTTTGCTTACCCAACAGCATTTCTGCTTTACACACTACAGATTTAAATTCTTTCTTTTTTTTTTTTTTTTTTTTTTTTCTGGCAGAGCACAGGGACTTTATTGATGATACATGACAAGGTGGGGCTCCCTAGGCCCCTCCTTCTTCAAGGGGTCTTCATGGAAACTGTGAGGAGGGGCGATTCAGTGTGGTGGGGGACTCAATGTGGCAGGGACTCCCCAGCAGTGAGGGCCTCTCTTCCTCTTGCTGGGGCTGGTGGTCCAGGGGTCTTACTCCTTGGAGGCCATGTGGGACATGAGGTCCACCACCCTGTTGTTGTAGCCAAATTCATTGTCATACCAGGAAATGAGCTTGACAAAGTGGTTGTTGAGGGCAATGCCAGCCCCAGCATCGAAGATGGAAGAATGGGTGTCGCTGTTGAAGTCAGAGGACACCACCTGGTGCTCAGTGTAGCCCAGGATGCCTTTGAGGGGGGCTCCGACGCCTGCTTCACCACCTTCTTGATGTCATCATATTTGGCAGGTTTTTCCAGACAGCAGGTCAGGTCCACCACTGACACGTTGGCAGTGGGGACATGGAAGGCCATGTCAGTGAGCTTCCCGTTCAGCCTATGGCCTTGGCAGCGACAGTAGAGGAAGGGATGATGTTCTAGAGAGCCCCATGGCCATCACGCCACAGTTTCCCGGAGGGGCCATCCACAGTCTTCTGGGTGGCAGTAATGGCATGGATGGTGGTCATGAGTTCCTTCCATGATACCAAATTTGTCATGGATGACCTTGGCCAGGTGCTAAGCAGTTGGTGGTGCAGGAGGCACTGCTGACGATCTTGAGGCTGTTGTCATACTTCTCATGTTCACGCCTATCACGAACATGGGGGCATCAACAGAGGGAGCAGATATGATGACCCTTTTGGCTCTCCACTGCAAATGAGCCCCAGCCTTCTCCATGGTGGTGAAGATGCCAGTGGACTCTACCATGTACTCAGCGCCAGCATTGCCCCACTTGATTTGGGAGGGATCTCGCTGCTGGTAGATGGTGATGGGATTTCCATTGATGACAAGCTTCCCGTTCTCAGCCTTGACAGTGCAATGGAATTTGCCATGGGTGGAATCATACTGGAACATGTAGACCATGTAGTTGAGGTCAATGAAGGGATTATTGATGGTGACAATATTCACTTTACCAGAGTTAAAAGCAGCCCTGGTGACCAGGCGCCCAATACGACCAAATCCGTTGACTCTGACCTTCACCTTCCCCACGGTGTCTCAGGGATGTGGCTGGCGATGGGAGTCAAGATGTGGCTGTCTGTCGCACAGGAGGAGGAGCAGAGAGCCGGCAGAGTATTTTCATAAAATACAACTAATTTTTGTTTTGCCTGGATTACTAGTTTTATAAAAGTCGTTTTCTTCATTAGAATTCTCACGATTCTTAACCAGTCCAAACAGTTTGATTCTAAAATTATCAGAAACCTGTACTCAACTTCTCTGGGTCCTTTCCATCTTTTTATGAACCTCCTGCTACTAGAAGAGTTACCCTGGGCTTCAATGCAGTAATGGCAGATGGGGCCAGGAGCCCTGGAACTTGTTAGTTTTCAGCAGGTAGACTGAGAAGCTGTGGGAGTGCAAGCAATTCTTCACTTTTCATTTTGTTGAACGGTTGGTGGCTCTGAGGTCCAGCCTTTTCTGTCTGTCATTTTGCGGCTTCAGAGGTGTCCTCGGGTCTTAGCTATGAATGTTCCAATACCAGTAGGTCACAGAGCGATGGAGGGTGAGGCTGAGGCTGTGGCAGAATCACCATGACCTCCAGGAAACGGGACACAGGACAGTAAAGCAAGAACCTCAAGCTCTGGCTGGAGCGAGACAAAGACCCCGCCCTCAAATTCTTTCTTGCAAGGCACGGGATCATACTGCCTTATCTCCTCCCAATGTTTTCCAGTTCTTTCCTGGGTAATAGTGCAGCCAACCAGTCCCATCTCTAAAGTTTTAGACCTCTAACATAAATGTGTTAAAATGGTTCAGAATGAAAAGATATATGTTATTGAAAGGAGAAATCCTTTTTTTTTTTTTAAGACTGAGTCTCGATATTTTTCCAGGCTGTAGTGTAGTGGTGTAATCTCGGCTCACTTCAACCTCCGACTCCCAGGTTCAGGTGATTCTCCTGCCTCAGCCTCCCAAGTGGCTGGGACTATAGGCATACACCACCATGCCCAGCTAATTTTTTTTTTTTTTTTTTTTTTTTTTTTTTTAGTAGAGACGGGGTTTTACCATGTTGGCCAGGATGGTCTCGATCTCTCGACCTCGTGATCCACCCGCCTCGGCCTCCCAAAGTGCTGGGATTACAGGCATGCACCATCACACCCAGCCCCCGAGAAATACTTCTGAGTATTTTGTCTGAGTGTTTTGAAATTTAGATGAAAAAGCCTTCTGCTCCAGACATGGGATGTGGATCCTTGAGGTCTCTGGTGAAATCTGCACATCTGTGTTTTTATATCTGTTCCCTACCCTGTAATCCCCACCATGTGCACTTCTTCTATGGTTTTGATCTTTTGTTTAATTGCACACAAGTTATACTACTGGGTAACCAGAACCCGGTGTGAATGTGTTGAGATTTCTACTGTTTTGCATGATAGGAAAACTGAGAAATAATACATATAAAAGATATAGAGGCATAACATCAATGCATAGTTGGAAGTTGACTCTCAAGGGCTGACACGTTGTGTGTGAGTATGTGATAAACTTCTCATCCCTGCATAGATGCAGTGTTCTTAGCCTTAGTAGAAAAACTTGGTTTAGTGATTTAAGCCTTGTGTGGTCGATAGATCTTAAAAGACAAAGCAGTATATTGGTAGTTGTCAGTATAGCAGTGCCTAGCTCTGTATAAACGGAGAAATGGGATTAGCCATAGAGGTTAAAACTACCTTGTTATCCCATATATTAACACAAACTGTGTCTTGGATACACAGTTGTATTTAATGTTTTACAATCTAGCCTTTCCAGTACAGGCACTTTCTGAGAAACCTTTGTCCTTATTTGGGGCATTTTGTTGTCAGGTTTTTGTGTTTGTTTTTGTGGGTATTTGCTTCATTTTACCCCTGAGCTTTCAAATAAACAAACTCAAAACTCTGTTCTGAGGTGTTTTTTGTAGTGGAGTAATGGGTTTGCAGTAGTAAGTCATACTTTTCTACCGAAGGGGAGGGCTTGGAAATCCCTGAGACTAGCTAAAGTTAAGTTGTTGGAAGAATTCCTTGATTGGAAAATTTACCTTTGTGTTTTGTCGCTCTGTTTCCTGAAAATAACTCAGGGATGCCCCTTGTCCATCTGCTTTGATTTTTTTGGATCCCACCTATTCTTTCACTTTAAGAAAAAACAAATAATTGTTTTAGAGGTCTCTGTATTTTGCAACTGCCCTTTTATAAGAAGCACTTTTTCCAAATAAAACAATTTTTTAAAATTTAGATGAAAAATCTAGAGAGTTTTGTCTTTTGGAGAATTAAATACAAAGCATAACCCCTTGTCAGGAACTGTGACCTTAAGTGGAAATATGAAAGAATGTGAAAGAAACTCACCTGGAAACTCAAGTAACATTGACTAATTGTACTATAATTTGGAAATTTTGTTTAATTCAGCAAATACTTGTTGAGTGCTTCCTATTCAGAAGCATTTAATGGTGTGGGGGAAACATGAAGAAAACTCAGATTGGCTGCCACTATCAGGAGCACTATCTAGTATGAAAATTGGACAAATTTGTGTGTGTGTGTGTGTGTATGTGTAATTCACTAAAAACACACTAATTTAGATGTGGTAGCTCAGATTCAACATATATAAAATGAAGATAAATAGGATTAATCTTCCCTTCAAAACCTGTTCATCCTTTTCTGTTTCCTTCTTAGAACATAGCAGTATATTAACTTGGTTGCCTAAGCCTGGAAGTTAATCTTGTTCTTCATCCCCTAAAGCTAGTCAGTTCTCAAGTTGCACCCATTCTTTCACCTGAATCTATCTATCTATCTATCTATCTATCTATCTATCTATCTATCTATCTATCTAGATCTTCAGTATTATTTTTTCTTTAATTTTTCCATATCTCTACTGACAATCAGTGCTTCACAATTTCCGAAACATTACTATAGCCAATTGATCTGCTTATTTTCCTCTATCCATTTTCTCTGTTCACTAGTAATCTTCTAAAAGACTTACAATTCTGCAATGTTTATTAGTATTAATAGCTTATAGGCTAAGAAGCTGTCTTAATAGCCACAGCTCTAAATGGTAAGAGATAAAAAGGGAAGGTTGAGAGTCAGACTTGGTTTAAATGCCTTGAATTTCATTTAACCAAGTCTGACTCTATTCAAAGAGGCAAATGGTAAGAGATAAAATGGGGAGGTTGGAGAGTTCTTGCCTTATGAGATATATAGAATTTGTCCAACACATATTCTCTTGTCTTCTGAGATATATAGAATTTGTCCAACACATATAATGCTGTTTCACATCTTTTACTTAGTTCTATCCTCTTAGAAAACTCTTTCCTTCCACTTCTATTCAACTTTGTCTAATTTCTGCTCCTTTTAAGACTTAGGCTAAGCCTATCTGAGAACTCTCCCAACCTCTCCCTTCTCCCCTTCATCCCTGAGTGAGATGCCCTAAATGTACTTTGATAATTCTCAGTATTATACTAAATACTGTCTATACCTCCTTGAATATGATATTGAAATCCAAGTTCTTCCAGTTACTAGCTACTGGCAAATTACCTAACCTCTTTTTGCCTTCATTTCTGTACCCTTTAAAATAAGGATATTATCTGTTCCTATCTTGTAGAGTTGTTGTGATTGGTACCTGAGTCGATCTTTGTAAAGTGCTTAGAACAGTTTCTGGCACATAAATCAGTTCTCAGTGAATGTTAGTCATCATCATAATTTCCAGGTGAGATGTCCAGTAGACAATTGAAAATCTAAGTTTTGGATTTAGAGGAAAAGTAACCATTCGAGAGTAGGACTTGGGAGGTTTTTATTGATTTAACCACTGAAACTATAGAAGTGAGATACCTCTGGGCAAAAGTGAAGAATGAGAAGACTGAAGAATTAAAGACAACCTTGGGAGAGGTTTGTATTTAAGCAACAGGTGAAGGAATTGAGAAGAAAACCTGGTAGTAGGACATGCCTGTAATCCTAGCACTTTTGAAGACTGAGGAGGGTAGATCACTTGAGCTCAGGAGTTCAAAACCAGCCTGAGCACAAGGTGAAAACCCATTTCTACAAAAAATTAGCTGGGCATGGTGACTCATGCCTGTAGTCCCAGCTACTTGGGAGGTTGAGACAGGAAGATCACGTTAGCCTGGGAGGCAGAGGTTGCAGTGAGCTGACATCATGCCATTTCACTCCAGGAGGGCAACAGGAGTGAAACCCTATCTCCAAAAAATAAAGGAGCTGGGGGGAGAATCAAGGTAAACAGAGAACCGGAAGAGAGTATCACAGTAAATTCATAAAAAGCATCAAATTCTGTAAAAGTTTTTATATAAAAAGAAAACTTAAAAGTTACTGGCACTACCACGTACCCACAAAAAATGTTTAAAAAAAAAGTTAAGTTACTGGTAATGTTTGGCTGAATAACTTAGTGAAATATTTGCTAATTGCAGTGTTATTTGTTATATCTTTTTATAAAATCAGTCTCAAAATTAACTATAATTGATAACTGTTTGTTTCGGGTATTGTCTCTATATACAAAGACATATCTCTTTATGGTTAAAGAAAGTGATAAGTTACTTGAGTCTAGAGGAATAATTAAGAATTGATAGTTGACCTGTACATTAGTGAACATCATAAACCAAATTTAAAAATACAAGTGACAGAGTGCTGCAGTAAAATTGCCTTTTCAGGTCTTGTTGACATGCTTGGTAATTTAACCCCCTCTGAATATTTTTTTACCCCATTGTCTTATCTACAATATGCTTGCTTTCTTTATATTCAAGTCCTGTACTTTCTGAAGGCCCACCTCCAGTGCCTTCTCTTCCATAAATTGTTTCTCCACAAGCTTTTCATGTTCATTAAGCATCTATTACCAGGTGTTTGTGTTTCATTGGTAATGTTCTGTTTTCCCACTGAGTTTGCAAAAGCTACCCGAATGTCTTATAGCTCATTGGATCTAGCATAGAAACAATAGATGTTCAGTAAGCATTTATTATTTTTATTGATGAAATATAGGATAAAAGTCACATAGTCCTAGTTACATCATTCCTAGAAACACGGAGCCTAGCCTCATTAGCTTTTGAGAAAGGGGAGTACTAAACACTGGGGTCTATTGGGGGGAAAAGGGGAGGGCCAGTGGGAGGGGGAGGTGGGGAGGGATAGCCTGGGGAGAAATGCCAAATGTGGGTGAAGGGGAGAAGGAAAGGAAAGCACACTGCCATGTGTGTTCCTACGCAACTGTCTTGCATGCTCTGCTCATGTACCCCAAAACCTAAAATCCAATAAAAAATTTAAAAAAAAAAGAAAAAATCAGTCAAATATAGAGTCTACTTGATATTTTTACTTAATAAATTTCTGTAGTAAATAAGTCAAGCTGTAAAAATCTCTTGTTTTATTTCCTTTTAATAGATATAGAAATAAATAATTTAATTGTATATAATGACTTTTATAATTCTTTCTATTTTAGGTTGGTAGAGATCCCTCAATTCACATATGGGATACAGAGACCATTAAACCATTGTCTATATTAAAGGGCCACCACCAATTTGGTGTTAGTGCTATTGATTTCTCAGGTAAGGTGTTTTCTGTCTCAGTGAGAATGAACAAAATGCAGAGGCAATACATAGCATTTTAATTTAAGCCAATGTTACCTAAGCTTGCCATTTAGCTGTGACATTCACATTTTTTATCAAATGTATATACTGTTGTCCTAATCAAACACTATGAAAGTGTGGGTTTGCTAGCTAGTTTAATTATAACTTAATGGTTATAGTTTTAATACCTATTATAATTAGCATGTTTCTGTAAACATAAAAATGTTTGTCTATATAACAATCTAAATTCATCTCATTTCTACAAGTAGTTTGTATTTCCCATATTGGGCAAGTGTTGATCTCACTGTTTTAGAACCAGAGTAAACTTGGAAGATGTTTAGGGTAAAAGGCTAGCAAAGAAAGAGTTGAGAACTGAAATACTTATTTTAGAGATATTTATAAAGTGACAATTTTAAGCTGTCTTGTAAAAGTGATTTCAGATTATGATAGTGGTTTTCTGTTTATTTAAAAGTTTGACAATTACAGGTAGATATTACAGTGAAAGCTAGGGTGTGAATTGGGACAAGAGAGGAAATACTATTAATAGAGATTTCTATATTAAGAAACAGTGAATTAGTGCTTTTGCTGCTCTGACTGAAGTGATAAATTATCCATAGTAGAGTTCAGAGGAAAATATGTAGACATATTCAAGGATTTGGTAACAGTTAAGAAACTAGAAAATGAATTGTAAACCAAGTGAGTCACCAAGAAAAATACCACTATCACAATGAGGAAATAATTTAGCCTAGTAAAGTATGGTAAAATGGAAAATATTTTCTTGTGGTCGAGCTTTTACAGCCTATAAGCATGCACACCCATAAGGATATTCAATGATCATTTGTCTCAATGATTTAATATATTAATTACATATTACTTGATAATAATTGACCTTCACTAAAAGTAGTCATATTAGTGGCAGTATGTTGTTGTAACTTACATGTTTTTCATTTGGTTAACTTTTTATAATCACTCTAAGTTCTTATTTATATTACGGTAGATTTCTTATGGTGAATTTAATTAAATATTTTCTTAATCCCTTTGTCAATTTTCCCTTTCCTTCTATTTTTTTAATCTCTTTTTTCCATTTATCTTGTCTCCCTCCCTACATCCCAACCTGATGGATAGATAAGAAAAAGGAGGTCAGGTGTGATGACAGATATTTTAGAGGATTTGAGAAAGTTTTATTCCCCATCCCTTATAAATTCAGGTTCTTTTTATAGTTGTAAGCATGCCTAATATTTAACATTATTTTATCAAATTTTAAATAAAGGACATGGGTTTAGAATATATACTGAATGTTTTCTGTCATCTGACTGTTAATAGTTTATCTCTCTCAATTTTCCACAGCGGATGGGAAACGTTTAGTGTCAGTTGGCATAGATGATAGCCATACTATTGTGCTGTGGGACTGGAAGAAAGGAGAAAAACTTTCAATAACAAGGTAGGAAAAAACTTGATATCACATTGGCAAAACACTAGAATTACTTTGGACTTAAAAACTTTTAAATTAAAACAATTTTGAAATCAAGCAAATACATAACTTTTTATTACTTCCACGTTTATTATCATTGAATAAATAACAATCGTAGTCAATGATTTCAGAATGTCTTTGTAGATATATCCCTTGTGAACCCACTTTTAAATAGAACTATACTAAGTTTTAGATATAGCTATCTAAAACCTCCATGTACAGGTAGAATGTGTTCTACTATATGATAGGCTATTATGTAGCCATTAGAGAGCATGATCAAATGGTCACATTAGATATTTAAGTGAAAAAAGATACATATGCATATGTGTCACAAAGAAGTTATATGTTTTTTTCTTTTTTTTTTTTTGAGACGGAGTTTCGCTCTTGTTACCCAGGCTGGAGTGCAATGGCGCAATCTCGGCTCACCACAACCTCCGCCCCCTGGGTTCAGGCAATTCTCCTGCCTCAGCCTCCTGAGTAGCTGGGATTACAGGCACGCGCCGCCGTGCCCAGCTAATTTTTTGTAATTTTTAGTAGAGACGGGGTTTCACCATGTTGACCAGGATGGTCTCGATCTGTTGACCTCGTGATCTACCTGCCTCGGCCTCTCAAATATGTTTTTTTCTTATTTTTGTTTCATTTTCTAAGTTCTCTACAGTGAGCATGTATTTTTATAATAACAATGCTTTAAAGAAGGAAAAAGTCAATGAACAATGTCAGATTTTAACCTTGTATTTATTAAAGTGATGTTAAAGCACATTAAAAGTATAGATAAATGCTGGCCGGGTGCAGTGGCTCACACCTATAATCCCAGCACTTTGGGAGGCCGAGGTGGGTGGATCATGAGGTCAAGAGATCGAGACCATCCTGGTCAACAAGGTGAAACCCTGTCTCTACTAAAAATACAAAAATTAGCTGGGCGTGGTGGTGCGCGCCTGTAGTCCCAGCTACTCGGGAGGCTGAGGCAGGAGAATTGCTTTAACCCAGGAGGTGGAGGTTGTAGTGAACCGAGATCCTGCCATTGTACTCCAGCGTGGGCAACAAGAGTGAAACTCCATCTCAAAAAAGAAAAATATAGATATAGATATAGATATAAATGCTTTTTATGGAGTGTATAGATAATGCCCAAATTAACAATAGTTTAAGAGGAACTTTGTAGTTGGAAAGACTATCTTAAGGTATAACAAAGTATTGTTCTAAAATTGTCTTCAACTCATTCTTGCCACAAATAGCATTCCCTATGCACAGTACTATAGTAGGTATTATATGTGCTGTCTGAAAAAAGTTTAGTTTTGACTGTTTCTGTCTTTTGAGATTCTCTTGAGCAGAGTTACCATATTAAAATGATAAAAGAACAGATATACAAATACATGATTACACAGCCCACATCTGAGAGATAAGTGGGAGAGAAATATTCAGTAAATAGAGTAATCAAGATAGGGTATGGATTAGGCAAGAGATTAGTACAGGAAGGATGAATCTTGAGAGCTAATACATTTTGATATTTATTTCAGAGGAAGTAAAGATAAGATTTTTGTTGTAAAGATGAACCCCTATGTGCCTGATAAACTAATTACAGCTGGAATTAAACACATGAAATTTTGGCGTAAAGCAGGTAAGAAAGTGCTGCTTTTTTACTCCTTTGAGTTTTAAGAAATTATTGCTTTTGAAAGTAATTTAGCTAAGTGCAGTCTGTACCCTAGACTGCATCCTGGAACAGAACAGGAACATTAGGAGAAAAATTCATGAAACGTGAATGAAGTCTTGAGTTCATTTGATAATAATGTATTAAATATGTTGATTTCTTAGTTTGAACAAATGATCTATGGTAATATAAAATGTTAACATTGACTGGGCACAGTGGTTCATGGCTATAATCCCAGCACTTTGGGAGGCCACGGTAGGAGGATCACTTGAGCCTAGGTGTTCAAGAGCAGCCTGGGCAACATAGTGATACCCTGTCTCTACAAAAATATAAAAAATTAGCTGGGCATGGTGGTGTGTACCTGATCCGAGCTACTTGGGAGGATGAGGTCACTTGAGGTATCGATCACTTGAGCCTAGGAGGTTCAGGCTGTGGTGAGCCATGATTTCCCACTGCACTCCAGCCTGGACAACAGAGCAAGACCTTGTCTCAAAAAAAGGATATGTTAATATTAGTAGAAACTGAAGTGTATAAAAGAACACTCTGTAATACCTTTGTATCTTTTCTGGAAATCTCAAATTATCTAAAATAAGTTTATTTTTTTTAAGTAATTTTCTTTTGTATTGATGCATTTAAACAAATACAGGATTTATTGCCATTTTTGGCGCATTTATATAGTTGACATAGTTTGGCTGTGTGCCCACCCAAATCTCACCTTGAATTGTAATAATCCCTGTGTGTCAAGGGCAGGGCCAGGTAGAGATAATCGAATCATGGGAGCAGTTCCCTCGTATTGTTTTCACAGTAGTGAATAAGCCTCACAAGATCTGATGGTTTTATAAATGGGAGTTCCTCTGCATAAGCAATTTTGCCTACTACAATGTAAGATGTGACTTTGCTCCTCGTTCACCTTCAATCATGGTTGTGAGGCTTCTCCAGGCATGTGGAACTGTGAGTCAATTAAACCTCTCTCCTTATAAGTTACCCAGTCTTGGGTATGTCTTTATGAGCAGTGTGAGAACAGACTAATACAGTAGTATTCATACTTGCAAAAGGATTCAGCATATGAGATTAATCATATTATGTCCAGACTCCTTTCTTCTGTTAAAGACATGTTCTATAGTCTAAACTGAAAATGAAATTTTAAAAAAATTATTCATATGCTATAAAATGATATAAAAGTGGAGTTTTATATTACTTTAGTCATTTGTAGCTATAAAATAAAAATATATCTGTTTTCTAAGCAGAATAGTATACTTATAAATTCCAGCAGTGTGACATCAAAATCTCAATAAATTGAAACTGTTCAGAGAAAATATGTAAATATAGGAAGAAGTGAAACATTATTAGAAAAAAATAAACTTAGTGAAGACATTTCCCAAGTTCAAGTAACTTTCAAGTTGTAAATTACATGGGACATGAATTAATTTTCAGTCTTGGATTTTGTGCTTCATCACAAATGTATCAGATAACAGCATATGTGCTTACAAAGTAAAAATAAGTGTTTTTAAATTTGTAATTTTGTTTCCACATGCTTAAACTTTTCATTTGGGTACCTTAGTCACTTGTAGTTACAAATTCCCAGCAAATAATATAGTTGTACCCAAGGTCATCAGAAAGTATCAGGGATTGGTTCCAGGATTCTCTAAGGATACCCAAATCCATGATGCTCAAGTCCCTTGTATAAAATGTTATAGTATTTGCCTATAATTTATGCACATCCTCCTGCGTATTTTCAGTCATTTCTAGATACTGATAATACCTAACATAATGTAAGAGCTATGTAAATAGTTTGTTATACTGTTGTTTAGAGAATAATGACAAGAATAAAAAGTCGGTACACATTCAGATGCAACCATCCTTTTTTTCTTTTTTTGGGATGGAGTCTTGCTCTGTTGCCCAGGCTGAAGTGCAGTGGTGCAATCTCAGCTCACTGCAACTTCTGCCTCCTGGGTTCAAGCAATTCTCCTGCCTCAGCCTCCCGAGTAACTAGGATTACAGGCACCCACCACCACACCCAGCTGATTTTTGTATTTTTAGTAGAGATGGGGTTTCACCATGTTGGCCAGACTGGTTTTGAACTCATGACCTCAGGTGATCCACCCACCTGGCCTCCCAAAGTGCTGGGATTATACACGTGAGCCACCGTGCCCTGCCCATCCTTTTTAAAAGGAATATTTTCAATCCACATTTGATTAAATCCACAGATGCAAAACCTGAGATCATGGAAGGCCGATTGTACTTAGTATTTCTGTCTTGGAAAAAAATATGAATTTGTTTGAAATAAGATTTCAAGAAAGTAAATAGTCTTGCAATTAAAAGATTTCCAAATGAATAACTTTTTTACTTAAGTTTGATTAGACGTATAATAGACCTGAAAGTGAAGCATGAAAGGATGAATGTTAAGGCTTTGGCATTTCAACCTTCCTTACTTTTGGGGTCTGATACACAGAGTTCATTTACACAATTGGGAAGTAAGTATCTACTTTCTTAACCTGACTAAGTATGTTTAACCCTCTAAATGCATAGTTAGGTAAACTAGGTTGAAGGAGATTACTTCGGCTTGAGGTTGACATGGGGCTTCTTGCCTCCCATTCCAGATCTAGGCTTTGAGAATTTCAAGTTATGAATTCTTAGTCTCTCCCCTAAGGAATTTGAACTCTATTCATGGTAGGGACGGAGGGATGGGGTGCCACCGAAAGTTTCTGATGCAATTATGACATGACCTGATTACAGGACCTTGTGTAGAAAGAACATGTTATGGTGTGTGTATCAAGAAAACCCAGCTATCAATAATCTATACCAAGGGTGGCAAACTTTTTCTGTAAATGGCCAGGTGGTAAGTATTTTAGGCTTTCTAAGCCAAAGGACAAAATCAAAAGTATTACATAGGTTATTATAGAACAAGAGAGAAAATTGTCCTGCCCTGCTTACCCTGTTTACACCCAGTTGCCATTAGACATTCTGTCTGCCAGGGAATGGATGTGGCAGGTTGTGGTAGGGAGTGAATCTGTAGTGAACATCACTCTGCCCCAGTGACACATAGAACCCAGTGTCTCCTTCTGTTCCTGTAGAGCCCAACCTTCTAAATTTGGGCAGCTGACCAGAAGTGGGGCAACTATTAGACTGAGATTCCACTGCCAGATACCCAGCAGTTGCCATTAGTAGAGTTTCCAGCTGGTAGCTGGGGACCAGCTCAGACCCTGGGCAGATGCTAGTTATAGCCACAAACCAGGGAGGTAGACCCTGGGTGCAGAGAAATAAACAGACTTGGTCTCTGCAGCTCAGAGTGCTAACTTGCTCTAGTGTACATTGTACAAAAACAGGTAGCAGTGGGATTTGATGTTCAGCCTGTAGTTTGCCCATCCTGCTCTAGTGGATATTTTGCCCTCTAGTAAAGGCCAGTTCTTCCACTTGTGCACTTCAACCTTCCTTACTTTTTTCTCTCATCTACTCAAGGATGCCACTCTAACTCTTCTACCCTTTCTCTACTGTTTCATTGATTTTTCTCTCTGCTGACTTTCTCTTCAGCATACCAATGTGATATGATTTCTCCATCTTAAATAAGTGATACAAAACCCTCTTTCAATTCTATTCTCTAGTTGCTGATTCATTTGTCATCTCACTTTGATGCTAAACCACCTCTAAACAGTTTTTCCTGCTTTCAATTTGCAATTGATGTTCTCTTTCTTTCTCTTTAGAAAAATCTAACCTAGTTTTTTTTCACCTCACCACTCCACCCCCCTGCTCTTATAAGGCCACTAATGACTCTGCCTTCTGTGTTGAGAGAAGACAGCCTTCTGAATCTGACTACTTTTCATCATCTTCTATGATATCACTTTGGTCTGTGCCACCTTTACCATTTTGCCCAGATGATTGAAATAGCCTTAACTCCTTTCATCCTTGACCTCCCTTATATCTATTCTCAATCCAGAAGTCAGAATGAACCTCTTAATAAATAAGTTGCCAGATCTTGTCATTCCACTACTCAAATGTTTTCTCTTTACATCTCATGTAAAGAAAAAGTTAAATCCTGACAATGGCCTGCAATATTGCCTTTGACCTCTCCAACTCCATTTCCCATTACCATCTCCCCTTCTTTGCCACTCCATACTGGTCTCCCTGGTTGTTACTTAGCAATTTCAGTCATGTTGTTGTATTGGGGCCTTTGCACTTGCTGCTCCCTCTGCCTGGAACACTCTTCTAGCATGACTTGCTCTTGCCAGCTCCTCTAAGTCTTCATTTAGATACACCGTTTTGATGAGGCTTACCTTAACTGACTCAATGGACTCCTCCCACTTCCTGTCTCATTTTTATCCTTGTATTTTCTCCAAAGCACCCATCATCATTTAACACACTGTACATTTGACTTGTTACATTTATTGACTGTCTCTCACCATGAAGCTCCAAGGAATTTTGTTGTCTTGCCTGTTCTGTTCATAACTCTGTCCCTGGTACCTTGAATAGTGCCTGGCACATATATTTCTTTTTTCTTTCTCTCTCTCTCTCTTTTTTTTTTTTTTTTTGAGACAGGGTTTTGTTCTGTCACCCAGGCTGGAGTGTAGTGGCACAATTATGGCTCACTGCCACCTCTACTTCTCAGGCTCAAGTTATCCTCCTGCCTCAGCCTCTCAAGTAGCTGGGACCACAGGTACACACCACCATGCCCAGCTAATATACTTCTTAAACACATGAAGGAAGGAAGAATTAGTGAGTTCAACTAGAAAAAAATGGGCAAAAGATATCAATAGGTGATGATGGCCAATAAAAACATGAAAATATGATTGAACATAATATTCTCAGAAATTCAAATTTAAACCACAATGAAATTCAGTTGGTGTTTCTTATTTCCCAGTCTGACAACACAAACTGTTTCTGAAGGTGAGAAGCAAGGAATTATTTTCACTGTTAGTAAGAGTGTATGTTGGTATATAAACTTTGGAACAGTTTGGCAAGAGTTGAGCCTTCTCTGATCTATATGCTATACCTCTTCTAGGTATTCCTAGAGAAATTCTTTTGATGCTAGCATGCTGGGAAAAAAAAAAGAAAAAAGAGAAACTCTTGCACTTGTATAGAAGAAGCCTTTACAAGAATGTTTAAGGCAGCATTGCTTTTCATAGCAAAAACTTGGAAGTAACTTAAATGCCAATTAATAGGAAAATGGATAAATCATGGTATATTTATATAATGGAATGCTATATGGTTATGAAAGTGAGTTTTCTAACATGTAAAAATCTCTATAACAAGTCATTCTTGAATAAAGCAAGTTGCAAAAGAATAAATAGAGGGTGATATAGAAAAATTTTAAACATGAAAAAATACGACATTGCTTAAAAATTCACAAATATGTTTTGTTTTACATATATATATATATGTAAAAGAATGCATGAGCCTAAGCAGTATCACAGTCACAATAGAGAGGGCGAAGAAGGCAGATGAGATTGGCATGACATTTCAGTTATTTTGGTATCTTTTTGTAGGTCAGTGGTGGATATACAGACATTAATTGTATTGGGGTTTTTTAATGCCTTTTTGTATTCTTAAGTATGTCATAATAAAAAATTTTTTAAATATCATCAAAAGTGCTAGGAACCGATTAAAATGGACTTAGTCCAGCTCTTTGTTTATCTAAAAAGTTATGGCCTAAATGCAGCTTTGCAAGGTGTTACCCACATCACTGTTTGAGACACCAGTATTTTTCAGTTCTCTTTGCTGTTACATACCTTTGTATTCAAACAACAACAACAGTAGAAAAGAAATTTTGCTTCTTTATAATTGTGTACATTTTGAAAGTGTAACTTTTATAATTTTTTTTGTGAACTAGGGGGAGGATTGATTGGAAGAAAAGGCTACATAGGCACACTGGGGAAAAATGACACAATGATGTGTGCAGTGTATGGATGGACTGAAGAGATGGCGTTTTCTGGAACATCCACAGGAGATGTGTGTATCTGGAGAGACATCTTCCTTGTAAAAACAGTGAAAGCACATGATGGGCCAGTGTTCAGTATGCATGCATTGGAAAAAGTAAGTAATCTAAAGAGATGTTAAGTTAAACATAATTTGTCATGGAGTGTAGAGCATTTTCAGAAGTAAAGGAACACTGCCTTTCTACTTGGCTGGACTAGCCAACAGTAGTCTGTGGGCTAGGGTCATCTTGACCTTTCTTTGTTTCTCTTTTCCAACTTCTGAACACAGATTGAAATAGGTCTACAGTGTTTTGTTTTGAGACAGGGTCTCACTCTGTTGTTCAAGCTGCAGCCTCCTACTCCTAGGCTCAAGAAATCCTCCTGCCTTAGCCACTTGAGTATCTGTGACTACAGGCAAGTGCCACCCACACCCATCTAATTTTTTTTTTAAAGTTTGGTAGAGATTATACTGCCCAGGATAGTCTCCAACTCCTGGGCTTAAGCTATACTCCCACATCAGCCTTCTAAGAGTTCAGTTACAGGCATGAGCCACCATACCAGCCAGGTCTGCTGTTTTTTTGTTTTTTTCTTGAAAGTTTAACTTCATGTTCTTAAGCTTGTACTATGTGTCAAAAATCGGCTGTTTATATATAATCACCATATTCTATCAAGTAGTTACCATTATTGTTTTCTCTTTTTAAGGATGAGGTTATTATGTAGACTCCAGGAGAATATATGTAACTTTCTGAGAGTGGTAATCTAACTTATAGTTACAGATTTAAAAAACTATGTTTCTAAAGCCCCATCCTAAAAGTAAAATGTTTAATGTCACTGTAAATATTATTTCAGATTCCATGTAGACATTTAAAAAACAATGAATATGCTAATTCCTATTTTTTACAAGCTGTAACTTTTGGCTATGTTCTCTCCTCTAGAATTTTTCAATATAAGGAAAAAGATTACTATTTAGAAAAATATTTAGATCTTTATTAACTTAACCCTTTTTTTTCATAGGGGTTTGTAACTGGAGGAAAAGATGGTATAGTAGCTCTTTGGGATGACTCTTTTGAAAGATGTCTCAAGACCTATGCTATAAAAAGAGCTGCATTGGCCCCAGGATCTAAAGGTGATTTGAGACTTAGTGGGTTTTTTTTTGTAGGAAAAAGATTAATTGCTCATTAATATGCTTGATCACTGAGGTGGAACACATGGCATATATTTTTCCTTCTTATTGGGCATTAGCATTAAGTGGAAGAAATTATTTAACTGGATACCAGAATCATTGCTGTCTTTTCAAAAATCTATTTTCTATGATACATATGGTAAAACATTAGTTAAATACAAGATTATGAATCCTAATTTTTAACATTAATTTTCCAAAGAAAATTTCCATGCAAACATCAAATTTATCACCAGTCAGGAACTTGTGTGCAACTTTGACATTTTGTTTCACCTTGGCATTTTGTTGACCCTGCCTCTCTAGCCTCACATGCTCTTTTCCCCTTTGCCATTTCTTTGTTTGTTTATTTCAGAAACAGGGTCTTGCCGTGCAGTGATAACAAATTTTCCCTTTGCCATTTGTTTGTTTGTTTGTTTATGTAAGAGACAGGGTCCAGGCTGGAGTGCAGTGATGTAATCATAGCTCACTGAAAGCTTGAGCCCCTAGACTCAAGCAGTCCTCCTGCCTCAGCTTCCTGAGTAGCGGGGACTAAAGGCACCTGTCACCATACACGGCAAATATTCAAATGTTTGTACACCCAGGGTCTCTCTATGTTGCCCAGGCTGGTCTCAAACTCAAGAGATCCTCTAAACTTGGTCTCCTGAAGCACTGGAATTACAGGCATGAGCCACTGTGCTTGGCCTCCCTTTTTTTTTTTTTTTTTTTTTTAAGAGGAAGAAGGGTGCAAGGACAGCATCAGGCACAACTCCCTGTCCCCCAACTGTACACCAGGTTGTGGGCCCAGAGGGTGCATTTTCTTTGAGCACATTTCTTCCTTTAAGGCATGGCACCACACTCTCTGATCTCCAAACCTTTCTTCATGTTTTTACTTTTTCCTAAAACTTGCCCTTCCTCTTCCCTCCTGCCCCCTCCATTTACTTGACCACATACTTATTTTTCAAATATCAAACATAATTTTTTTCTAGGATGATATCCCTCACCCTCACCTCCTCTCAAAAAATTTAGATTCCACTGCTATGTGCTCCTATTTCAATATGCCCCTAACACAGGGTCTGTTTCCTCATTGTATGGTCTGTAAGGGCAGGAGTTGGGTCTATCATCTTTACTAATTGCTGAAGCTTTCCTAGGACAAGTAGACATAAATAAATAGAGTTGGCCCTCTGTGTCTGTGGATTCCATATCCTCAGATTCAACCAACTGCAAATAGAAAATACTCGAGAAAAAGTAACAACAATAAAAATATAAATAAAAATACGGTATAACGGCTATTTACATTGTACTAAATATAAGTAAAGGTGATTTAAAGCATTTGGGGTCTGGGTGTGGTAACTCACATCTGTAATCCCAGCACTGCGGGAGGCCCAGGCAGAGGGATCACCTGAGTTTGAGACCAGTGTGCGCAAAACAGCGAAACCCCATGCTATTAAAAAAAATAGAAAGGAAAAGTGTATGGAATGATGTATGTGGGTTATACACAGACACTACACCAATTTATATAAGGGACTTGAGCATCCATAGATTTTGGTATCTGTGGCAGTCCTGGAATCAATCCCCCAAGAACACTGAGGGCCCACTGTGTATCTTAAATTGAATTGAATAAAATTACTAATGAGAATATTGTAAATACTCTTAAGATGTGCAGGAGATGGATAAGGAAGGGCTAATAAAAAAAAGAGGTAAATAAATAGTCTCAATGGTAGGATGGAATCTGAAAATAGAATCTTAAATTATAGTACATAGGTAGTACTTATTTTGAGATTAGTAAATTGAATGGGGGTAATGTACATTTATTAGAATACTTAAAATCTAGGAGAAAACCTTTTAATGTGATTTTCACTGTCAAAATAGCTTAACTGGCAATATATACACCCTTGTATTCTAGTAACTGCATGTCTAGAAGAACATCTTCTTCTGACCTTTCAGGTCTTCTCTTGGAAGATAATCCATCGATACGTGCCATATCATTAGGACATGGTCATATTTTAGTTGGCACAAAGAATGGTGAAATACTAGAAGTGGATAAAAGTGGCCCAATAACACTTCTGGTTCAGGTAATTTTAAATGCTAATATGCTTTGTTTTTCTTTACATGCAATTGATTATTTCAGTATATAAGAGCCAAAAATTGACAATGATGAAAATTAATGTTTAATTAGTTAGGGAAATATTTGTTAATGTTAATGTATACAGAAAAAGTTTTAATTTGGTAATAGCTAAATAATTGGGTAGCACTAAATATACATATTTTTATATGGAATGATTGCCAATATTTTAAGTAATTTATTATGACAAAGTAAGGGACCAAGGAAAAAAAAACCAGTTGTAATTAATTTAACCCAGTCTGGTTTTAATTTTATTTATTTAAGGTATATTTGTTGAGCCTAAGGCACTTCATTTTCTCTGAAACTCTTCATTAGGTCATTCTTAAGTTTCTAAGAAAAAATAAAAATGAATATGTGAGTGTATGCTAAAATATTATAACTGAAAATCAAATATCAATGAAAAGATGTAAATAATAAAACAAAAATCCAGAAATATAAAAATTATGTGATAGAGAAGTAAAATTAAATAGAAGGATTAGCTGCTGGTTATATGATCCTTAACACTTTCATCAAGAATGGTGGATTCGATTTTTATATTTCTTCTATGTATTATATTTTTCTGGAAAATAGAGAGGGAAATAATACCATAAAACAGTAAATGAAATAGGATATATCCTGATGAAAAATTGTCCTTGTGCAACTCTATAATAGTAACACCAAACTTTGGCTTGCCTTTTTACCCTGAAAAAGGATTTTCATTCTTAACACAGACTTATTTCTCCTGCTATCCCCACTTCACTCTGTTGTGACACCAATGAGCACACATAGATGAGAACACTGCACATGTTTTAATGTTAATATAACATTTTGATGGGTTGAGGGAAATTTGTAAACGGATGACAAAATGTTATATATAACAAAATGTTATATATAAAATTAACTGGTGTCTTACTCTTTAATTTCACTTATGTAATATGCCTTTGAAGTAAAAAGATGATGGGGTCATGGTGTTAACACTTTTGTGATGTCTTGGAAAATATTAACCCAAGTATGCTTTTACAGATGAACCCAAATATGAAATTACTAAAAAACACAGTTTCTGAATAGTGAAAAATGATTTGGAAGTCACAAATAATATCTGTTAAGAGAAAAACTTTAGAAAAAATAAATCTAACAGCGTTTATCTGCATATGAAAAGAGGGCGGGCACAGTGGCTCACGCCTGTAATCCTAGCACTTTGGGAGGCTGATGCAGGCTGATGCTTGAGCCCAGGAGTTTGGGAAGCTGAGAGGGGCAGATCGCTTGAGCCCAGCAAAAGCAACATAGCAAGTCTCTGTCTTAAAAAATAATAATAATAATCATGAATTAGGTAGCACTCAGCACTGGGAAAGACTCAGAGAGATCTGCTGTAGCCGTGTGGGCAGTGAGATTTTATAGGCTGAGCACGGAAGTAAGACAAAGAAAATATATTTGATTGGTTAGAGTGGAAAGACCTTACTTAGAGATTAGTTGGCAGATTCTGCTTGGCATAGTCTCTAGTTTTGATTCACTTTACATTGGGCTTTGGTTTGCTTACATAGGAACTTACAGTGCTGAAGCTGTCCCAGCCTAATGGCCTCCCAGTTAAAAATTTGTTAAATGTCCCATTATTTTTAGTATTATTGTAGAGTTCAAGGTTTCAATTGTCCTCTTATCTTCTTGACATTGGAAACAAGACAAGAATACCAGATCACATCATTGTCATCCAACATTTTGTGTGAGGTCTTAGCCAATCTAGTAAAACAAAACAATAAAAGACGTGTGTGTTGGAAAGGAATGGACAACAGTGTTGGTATTTTTGGGCATTATAACCGTATACCTTGAATATCAAGGGAATAAACTGAAAAATTATTAGAACTAAATAAAGAGTTCTGTGAATTGATCAGTCGCAAAATCCATGTAAAAATCAATAGCTTTTCTATATACTAACAATAACTAGTTAGAAAATATGACACTAGGCCGGGCGCGGTGGCTCAAGCCTGTAATCCCAGCACTTTGGGAGGCCGAGGCGGGTGGATCATGAGGTCAAGAGATCGAGACCATCCTGGTCAACATGGTGAAACCCCGTCTCTTCTAAAAATACAAAAAATTAGCTGGGCATGGTGGCACATGCCTGTAATCCCAGCTACTCAGGAGGCTGAGGCAGGAGAATTGCCTGAACCCAGGAGGTGGAGGTTGCAGTGAGCCGAGATCGCGCCATTGCACTCCAGCCTGGGTAACAAGAGTGAAACTCCATCTAAAAAAAAAAGAAAATATGACATTAAAAATGTTATTTGCTGGCCAGTCACGGTGGCTCATACCTGTAATCCCAACACTTTGGGAGGCTGAGGTGGGCAGATCACGAGGTCAGGAGTTCAAGACCAGCCTGGCCAACATGGTAAAACCTCGTCTGTACTAAAAATACAAAAATTGGCCAGGCATGATGGCAGGCGCCTGTAATCCAAGCTACTCCGGAGGCTGAGGCAGGAGAATTGCTTGAACCTGGGAAGTGGAGGTTGCAGTGAGCCAAGATTGTGCTGCTGCACTCCAGCCTGGACAACAGAGCAAGATTCCATCATGAATGAATGAATGAATGCATGCATGCATGCTACTTGCACCAGGTGCAGTTGCTCATACCTGTAATCTCAGCTATTCAAGAGGCCGAGATGGGAGAATCATTTGAAGCTGGGGGTTCAAGACGAGCCTGGGAAACATAGTGAGACCCCCCCACCTCTAAATAAAATAAAATTAGCTGGGTATTCTTACACACATGTGTAGTTCCAGCTCCTCAGGAGGCTAAGGTAAGAGGATCACTTGAGCCCAAGGGTCCAGTGAGCAATGATTGCACTACTGCATGGCAGCCTGAGTGACAGAGGGAGACCTCATTTCTTTGAAAAAAAAAAAAAAAAAAAAAAAGCACTACTCATACACACAAAAAATACAATAACTGGGAATAAATATAGCTAAAAATATGCACAATCTGTGTTAAGAAAACTAAGATTTTACTAAAGAATAAAATAAATAAATAAGTTATATAAATTTCATATAATCACAATCCGAATTAGAGTTTTTACAAATGCTGGAAAGATTAAAAACCACATAGAAGGCTGGGCACGGTGGCTCACGCCTGTAATCCCAGCACTTTGGGAGGCTGAGGCAGGTGGATCACGAGGTCAAGAGATCGAGACCATCCTGGTCAACAAGGTGAAACCCCATCTCTACTAAAAAAAAAAAAAATACAAAAAATTAGCTGGGCATGGTGGTGCACGCCTGTAGTCCCAGCTACTCGGGAGGCTGAGGCAGGAGAATTGCTTGAACCCAGAAGGCGGATGTTGCAGTGAGCCGAAATTGTGCCATTGCACTCCAGTCTGGGTAACAACAGTGAAACTCCGTCTCAAAAAAAGAAAAAAAAAAACCATATAGAAGAGAAAATATTCAAGAATAGTTAAGAAAGCTTTGAGAAACTCTCCATGTGTGAAATAAAAATATTATAAAATGATAGTTATTATAAGTATAGGAATGTATATAACCTACAGAAGTGTTTATATATATTTAACAACAAAAACTATACAATGTTTGCAGCAGCAGTATTCCATGGATCAGTTTGGGGAATAGTGCCATTCTGTCACTAAGTCCATGAACATGGGATAGCTTCCCATTTATAGATCTTCTTTTTACTTTTTCTGAGTGTTTTGTAGTTTTCAGTATATAAGTCTTGTGCTTATTTTGTTAAATTTATTTTTAACTATTATTTTTGAATCTATTATATTGTTTTCTTAAATTTGATTGCATTGTTTATTTCTGTTGTATCAAAATGCAGATTTTGTACATTAACCTTATAACCTGTAAACTTGGTGACCTTATTTATTAGTTCTGATAGTTTTATAGTGGATTATTTAGGATTTTCTGTATACAAGATTATGTCATCTGTAAATATGCATAGTTTTACTTCTTCCTGTCCAGTCTGGATGCCTGTTATTTCTTTTTCTTGTCCAATTGCCCTGAGTAGAACCTCCAGTACAGTGTTGAATGTAAGTGGTGAGAACAGAACATCCTTGTCTTGTTCCTGATCTTAGAGTGAAAGTATCTAGTCTTCCACCATTGAGCATAATGTTAAGTGCAGGTTTTTTTATAGATGCTCTTTACTAAGTTGAAGTTGAAGAGTTACTACGCTTTTATTCCAATTTTTTGGAGCATTTTCATCATAGATGAGGAGGGATTTGTCAAATGCTTTTCTATGTCTATTAAGCTGATCATGTGGTTTTCATTTTTAATTCTATGGATGTAGTATATTACATTAATTGACTTTTGGATGTTTTGCCAATCTTTTATTCCTGGGATAAATCCTACTTGGTTGTGGTATATAATTTTTTATATGTATTGGATTTGGTTTGCCAGTATTTCATTGAGGATTTTAGCATCAATATTTATAAGGGATGTTGGTCTTTAGTTTTCTTGTGATATCGTTGTCTGCCTTTGATATCTGGGTAATGATGGCTTTATAAAATAATTCAGGAGGGGTTCCCTACTCTTTGTCTCTTTCCCTGACCACACTCACTTGTTAAACTCCCTTAATTACTAGCTTATTGCTCTATTGTTTTCAACATTTTCCTCTGTCAGGTATAAATTGTGCCACAGACAACGAATTAAATTAAGGCTCCTTTAAAGGGACACTTCCCAAGATTAGTGTTTGAGGTTTCTGACTCCAAGCAGGCTCCTCCCAGCTATCTCAGAGTTTACTGGTTCTCTTGGACAAACTAGCTGGCCTAATTTAGCCTATATATCCAGTGAGCCTTCCAGTTTCCTCCGAATTACTTTTTGAGTGCATCCTTGTGCATGAGCTTTTTCATACTCTGCTGTAAATGAAGTCAGTTCCTTTGAGAATAGATTAGGAACTATCTGGTTTTCTGGATTGTCTCTCCCTCCAGTGAGAGTGAGGTCAATGGCTCTTTTAGTGTCTCAGGCTTTAGGCCCTGAGATCTTGGTAAGGGGAGAGGGGACAGTAGTCTCAGGTATTCCTGGGTTACTACCAGGACCCTATTATTCTCAGAGACACCACATCCAAAGTAGAGCTTCCATCTGGAATAGAGGCTGGGCAGAAGTGATCTCCCAACTGTCAGCTGAGCTCACAAAGAATTTAGCTTCAGCAACAGGAGGCTGAGGGAAGGATGAGAAATGCTGACATCCTGCTCTACCTAGGAAGATAGAGCTCTGACCAGGAGCTGGTGGGGAGAGAGAGCCTAGTGTTCTTGTGTTCTTGGTTGCATCAGTCTCACCTCAAGTTTCCATCTAGATGATGAGGGAGGAAGAGAGTGGATCTCAGTTTAAATACCATAGACTCACATTGTTCTTACCAAATTTTAGCGGATTTTCTTGAGTAAACGTTCTTTCCTTTGTTGCATCTCCCTGGAACTATTTTCAGAGACTTTAAATGGTTAATTAATTTTTTCTAGTTTCACTAGTGAGCAGGTCTGTGGAGCTCCTCATTCTGTCATGCAGGAAAGTGCCTCCTGTGTGGCAATTATTAACATTCCAGAGCAGCCAATTCCTATTCTCTCCACCCAGAAAATGTTTTAGGATTATAAGTAAACGTTAATGGTAACTTGGTTACATTATAATTGTGGAGCTAAAGTTGTTACGCAAGTATTTTATTGTATTTCCCAAAGATAAACAGAAAAGTTTTGTTAGACTTACTATTCAGTATCCTATCTATTATGATATATTATTGAATGTTGTCTTTAGTTTTATTCTAAATAACACTACACACACACACACATACACACACACACACATATCTTTAGGTTAAATTGATCCTATGTTTTCTTTATAGGGACACATGGAAGGAGAGGTGTGGGGTTTAGCTACACACCCTTATCTGCCCATCTGTGCTACTGTAAGCGATGATAAAACCCTAAGAATATGGGATCTCTCTCCTAGTCATTGTATGTTGGCTGTCCGGAAGCTGAAAAAGGGTAAGAGGCTCTCAGACTTGAACATAGATTAAGCCGTCACAGTTTTCTAACCTTTGCAAATATAAGAAAGCGCTACTGGGCACATTTTAAAAAGACTTTAAATACATTGAAATATTTATTGAATGTCTACTTGCTCATGGTGCCAGATATAGAAGCTTAATCGTACCCAGTCTTTGCTTTATGGGACCTCCTATCATCATGCCTAAACTGAGCAAATTTCCAATGACATGTTAAAGAATATAGGACGTAAACAGAAGTTAAAGTTTTTCTCCTTTGTGACTGTGGATTATACATAATTTAGAACTGGAAACTTTTCTAGGGCATAGTGGGTACTAAAAAAAAATCAAATAAAAATGAAATGGAAACTAAGAAAGCAAGCCCTAGCCTAAAAGAGGTAGACAGTTGAGGGAAGGATATTTTAAATAGCCTATTTGTAGGAGGCCTATTTGTAGGAGGCAGATGAAGCTGTTAGTGTAGAGAGATGGGCAAGGCTCAGTTATAAGAGCCAGGCTGTTACTATCAACCTAGTGTAGTTGAAGAGATATGGGCAGCTTTGAATTTCTTAGCAAAGTGGCAGGGAATGTTACAAGGTGAGGATGCTTTAGGAGGAGTGCTAATTGCAAAAGTTGGGAATGGTTACTATAAAATATATGATAGCAAGGCCAGGCACAGTGGCTCACATCTGTAATCCCATCATGTTGGGAGGCTAAGGCAGGAGCATCACTTGAGCTCAGGAGTTCAAGACCAGCCTGGGCAGCATGGTGAAACTGTCTCTATACAAAATACAAAAATTAGCCAGGCATGATGGTGCATGCCTGTAGTCCCAGCTCCTTCGGAGGCAGAGGTAGGAGGGTCTCTTGAACCTGGGAGACGGAGGTGGCAGTGGGCAGAGATCATGCCACTGTACTCCAGCTTGGGCAACAGAATGAGACTCTCTCAAAAAAAGAAAGAAAGATAGCCTGGGGAGAAATGCCAAATGTGGGTGAAGGGGAGAAAGCAAACAAAACACACTGCCATGTGTGTACCTATGCAACTGTATTGCATGCTCTGCACATGTACCCCAAAACCTAAAATGCAATAAAAAATAAAAAAATAAAAAGAACAGAGACATAGATAGTTCTATAGAAGCTAATAAAAAGCCCAGAAATAAACTTTCAAAAAAAAGAAAGAAAGAAAGAATGAAGGAAAGGATTATCTAACCACAGTAAAGGCCAATTTGAAGTTAGGTAGCAAGAATTGTAATTCTTCTATTGACTTAAAAGTCATAGTCTGTTCTTTTAGGGTTACAGTTAAGTATTTAACATATAAAGTTAACTAAAACCTCTAGAACACTTGAACTCTAGTCACTGTCCTCCCCTTTTTTAGTTATTGATGTCCAGCATTGATTTTTCTTTTAACCCTCGCAACCCCCTTCAACTGTCATTATTATTGTTTTGTTGAGTCATTGTTTATTCGGGGTTTTTGTGCATATACATTTCTTTGTTCACCTTTTCTTCTTGCATGTCCCACTGTTTGCTTTTATCATTTTCTTTTTCCTACTTTAGAGTTTCTTTAATGAAAGATTTGTTGAAAATTTCCTTAGCTTCTTTTGTCTGAACCAGTGGTTTATCAAGGGCAGAATAGTAGGAGTGGTCCATACCAGCAGCAAGAGTATTTTATAAAACACTGATACCAGGCTGGGTGCCGTGGCTCACTCTTGTAATCCCAGCACTTTTGGAGGCCGAGGTGGGCTGATGGCGAGGTCAAGAGATCGAGAATATCCTGGCCAACATGGTGAAATCCTGTCTCTACTAAAATATAAAGATTAGCTGGGCATGGTGGTGTGCGTCTTTAGTACCAGCTACTTGGGAGGCTGAGGCAGGAGAATTGCTTGAACCCAGGAGACAGACGTTGCAGTGAGCTGAGATTGCACCACTGTACTCCAGCCTGGCACCTGGCAACAGAGCAAGACTCTGTCTCAAAAAAAAAAAAAAGAAAAGAAAAAAAACACTGACATCACCGTTCCTAAAAAGCAAATGGATTTTTATTCAGTTTTCTTATTATTTTGAAATTCTTTATAGGCAGCATATTGCCACTTAGAATAAAGTGTTATAACCACCCTGACCTTAGTATACCACTAATCTGAAGATACTTTGATTTTTTTTACTCTCATTCATAAATGCTAATGCAACTGCTTCTGGAGTTCTTGGTTGAACACAGAAAATTTATGATTCTGTATTTTTGTTTTTAAATATTCTTCTTTAAGGGCCAGGCATGGTGGCTCATGCCTGTAATCTTAGTACTTTGGGAGGCCAAGGTGGGCCGATTCCTTAAGATCAAGAGTTAGAGACCAGCCTGGGCAGCATGGAAAAATTATGTCTTTACAAAAGAATATAAAAATTAACTGGGCATAGTGGCGTATATCTTTAGTCTCAGCTACTTGTGGGTGCTGAAGCAGGAGGATTGCTCAAGCCCAGGAGGCCAAGGCTGCAGTGAGCCATGAACATACCACTGCACCCCAGGCTAGGTGACAAAGCGAGACCCTGGGTCAAAAAACATATATATTCTTCTATACTCACCTTTATTTTAATTTTTGTTATCACTGATTCAAGAGGAAAACAGATGGATTTTAACTTTAGAGGGATATTTGTGGTTTTACACTGGTTAATTACTGAAGTCATGCTAGATTCAATATTATAAAACATAGTTATCTCTTCGAATCATTCAATAAGCAAATACTGTTTTCTTCAACAAATGAATGTATATCTATCATGATCCTGAGACTTATCGTTTTATAAAAAATAATTCATTATAATTAAAGTAGCTTGTCATAGGGAAATTTCTAGCAAACAACTCGATTTTATGGCACCCAGTTAAAGAATAAGCAGAAGTATAATGATGCAACATGGCTTAATGATTATATTCTTTTTTTTTTTTTTTGATACAGTGTTTTATTCTGTCACCCAGGCTGCAGTGCAGTGGCAAGATCTCTGCAACCTCCGCCTGCTAGGCCCAAGTGATCCTCCCACCTCAGCCCCCTGAGTAGCTGGGACTACAGGCATGCAACACCACACCTAGCTAATTTTTTTTTTTTTTTTGAGACGGAGTTTCGCTCTTGTTACCCAGGCTGGAGGGCAATGGCGCAATCTCGGCTCACCGCAACCTCCGCCCCCTGGGTTCAGGCAATCCTCCTGCCTCAGCCTCCTGAGTAGCTGGGATTACAGGCACGCGCCACCATGCCCAGCTAATTTTTTGTAATTTTTAGTAGAGACGGGGTTTCACAATTTTGACCAGGATGGTCTCGATCTGTTGACCTCGTGATCCACCCGCCTCGGCCTCCCAAAGTGCTGGGATTACAGGCTTGAGCCACCGCGCCCGGCCCTGCTAATTTTTGTGTAGAGATGAGATTTCACCATGTTGCCCAGGCTGGTCTCAAACTCCTGGCTCAAGTAATCTGCCTGCCTCGGCCTCCCAGGTTGCTGGGATGACAGGTGTGAACCACTGCATCCAGCCTAATGTTTATATTCTTAATGTTAATGAAGTAAACACTTTCTAAATTTTTGCCAGCTTTTTGCACTTTTCTGTATAATTACATGTTGGAAAGTTTCATTTCTTTCTTTTTTTTTTTTTTGACATGGAGTTTTGCTCTTGTTGCCCAGGCTGGAGTGCAATGGCACAATCTCAGCTCACTGCCACCTCCACCTCCTAGGTTCAAACGATTCTCCTGCCTCAGTCTCCTGAGTAGCTGGGTTGACAGGCACCTGCCACCACACTCAGCTAATTTTTTTATTTTTAGTGAAGATGGGGTTTCACCATGTTGTCCAGGCTGGTCTCAAATGCCTAACCTCAGGTGATCCACCTGCCTTAGCCTCCCAGAGTGTTGGGATTGCAGGCGTGAGCCACCACACCTGGCTATATGTATTAGAAAGTTTCTGTTAAAAACTTGTATCCTCCAGGTTCAAGTTTTAATTATAATCAATTCTGAGTTTTTAATGGACTTTCTATTTTTTAATTCTACACTGTTATTCCATGTCTTGCTCATTTCATGTTTTGTGTCTGTCTCTGTGTGGCATCTGCATCTGTGTAATTTTTTCAGATTAGTTTTTTTTTTTTGAGATGATGTCTTGATCTTGTCCCCTAGGCTGGAGTGCAATGGCACCATCTCAGCTCATTGCAACCTCCATCTCCATCTCTGGGATTACAGGCACCTGCCACCATGCCCAGCTAATTTTTGTATTTTTAATAGAGATGGAGTTTCACCATGCTGGTCTCAAACTCCTGACCTCAGGTGATCCACCCACCTCTGCCTCCCAAAGTGCTGGGATTAGAGGTGTGAGCCACCCTGCCTGGCCTCTAGTTTTTAATTCTCTTTACAGAAGTTTATTGCCATCTGTTTTTTAACCTACCTATTTAGTTAATTTTGTCAGTTTTATAGCTTCTTTTTGTTTTCAAGTTTGCCTGAGAATATTTTAACATCATATTTCTTGTTTATATTTTATATTTCCTCCTTTCTATCTTTAATCTTAACTGCCTGTTTCAGATAAAGAATATAAAATCTAATTATCTCCAAGGATCTCATTTACTGTGTTTTCTTACCATTCTTTTGAATGTTTTCTTGTTGTTTGTTCTTCTGCTGACTCCCTCCTAGTGGTCCATCTTCTTGGGCATTTTAAATTCATATTGTGAGTTCATGTTGGATTGGGCTTTCTTTACCTTTGGGGATCTGAATCAAGGGTGTGTGCTTCTGTAGAGATTTTGTGTTTCTCTCTTCAGGTGTCTGAGGTGCTACCATCCAGTACCACTGAAAATTTATTTAACTGAGATTACATAAGTCATGTAATGAGTATAAATTTGAATCTAAGATTTGTGAAAGCCACCCTGTGTTTGTGAATTCTCAAGTATGATTTTTTCCCCTCTATGGAGAACCCAGGCCAGGATAGATAAAGGCTATTTCATAAAGTCTTTATTGCCAGATACATTTTTAAAAAAAGGTTTCTCTATTTTTCTTCTGAGATATTGTT